AAATCATCCCTTACGTCCCGAAGTTTCTTGTTGGGGGTCAACTTGACGTGAACGCTCATGTATGCTCCCCTCCCGGAGTCATCGAACACCCCTGGTGGGTGGTGAAACACGACCACGTCAATCCACGAGTTCTCCAAACGCACCATTGTATTGCCATCGACATTGTTTTCGATGAGCTCCCAACCGCCTCCATTGCGAGGTCGGCACCATGTAGATCGTTTCCAATGCTTGATGCTGTTCGCAACCTTGATGATTCGATTGGGTCGGATGTGATCTCGAATCAAGACATTCATCCTGACACCACTGTTGTGGGGGTCTTCAACTCCTGGTCGACAGATCCTAAAGAGTCAGTCACGATTTCCCTCACGAACGCAGAAGGACACAACCTCACTAAGAAGTTCACCGTCCAATGATGTCACTGAAATGTTCTTGTTGTCGAACGGCCCATCCAATGCCAAGTTGTTGCGAACCAATCGCTCAAGCTCATCGCGATCATTTGGTGGCTCTCTGGAACGTCGTGGCAATGTCGATCGGGATCCTTCATCGGTCCCAGGCACATCTGAAATATGTGGAGGCGGGTGATCTGGACTCCTTGGGGCAGGTCTCGAAGAAATTGGCCTTGATGGAGCTGGTCTCGAGGATGGACTTCGATCTCTTCCCAAGCTCCTTCCTCTAGATGCTCGTGGGTGTCTCCAAGGGGGCAGCTTGCGACTGAAGCTCGGGCTTCGTCTGCGTCTTGGTGGTGATGGAGGTGTAGGAAGACGCCTTCGTCGCAATGGGCTCCTGGATCTCCTTTCAGCAACTATCTTCCTCTGCTCAGAGCGAAGATGTCCCACATCAGATGCCAGGCCCCCAACGTCAGATGCAAGACCCTGCACAAGTCGTCTGATCTCTTCGAGCTGACCTGTTGTAGGATGTTCCACTGAAGCGCCATCGGCTGGAGCATCATCAACGCCTGCACGGCTGGCAGCTACACTGCCACGAGGCCTCATCGTCACGGCCTGTGTCCTCGGGATCAGATGCCTGATCTGTCCCACACTGGCCCCAACATTCTTGCAGTCGTTGCAAACTCCTCCACAACGCATTTCACCCCACATCCAAGACGACGAATGGATCAAGACAACGTCGTATCCCAAGGCCTTCAAGCACCTGAAAGCTGCGAAGCCCTGACCAACCGATCTATGGCGGCCTGATTTGCACTCCAGGTCCACCAAGATCCTTTCCTGCTGATGCTGGGTGACGAACTCCAAGATGCTATTGAGATGCTCGTTGAACTTGTCCACCTTGCTCAACGTCTCGAGGATCCTATGGTGCCAACCCACATGAGCTCTGAGACTTACGTCCTGATCAGGATCGTAAATGTCTTCACAGTTGATGGAAAGGGTGGCACGATTGGACCTCATGGCATGTCGTTGGAATCGTCGACCTCGAGTCACAATGATCACCTGTCTATTGCTAAGCTGTTCTTCATTCAGTTTCGATTGCAAGACGTCATAGTCCCTTGAATGAAAACCAGTCTGATCGTGATCGGCCATGGCGCAGTCACTTGTCGATGCAGTGTACGCCAAGTTATACTTTCTATGACACTTTGGAATTTTGGGAAGCTCATTTGGTGGTGTGTTGATGATGTTGGTCAATCCTTCAGTCAAGTTCATCACAAGTAAACCTGATTTGGAACATCTCTTGATATTCAATGGTTGATCTTTGATGGAAATCACCCCTTTTGCTAGGTCCTTCACTAGGCCTAACTTGGTTTGCGCATGCAATGAAAGAAGCAATGGGCTGTTGCCTGTTGACAATTGATATGAATCCAACTCCCCATTCATGTTCCCGTCTGGAAGCAGCAGCGAAAAAGGAATAGATCTCACACCTTCGGTCTTGGTACTACCACTTCCCAGACCAGCAAAACTCTTACAACCGTCATCCTTCAATGGCATGCTGTAACCCAAACGGGCCAGTCGTGCTTCTGCATCGACTGCCCAGGCTTTGCTATGACAAGTGCTGTTGCAACCTTCATCCAACACTGCAAAGACATGGGATGACCTGGCAATGTCAACAGTTTCAAAGTTCATGTAAACCAAGTCTTGAGGGTATTGAATGTCACTTCCATGCAAACAAATGCCAACGTACCCAGCTAACTCCCTGCCCGAGGGGTCGCCGTGCCCATCTTCATTGACAAGAGAAAAACTGTCCTCTTCCTCTGTCACGTCATTGATGGCTTGATGGAGTAGTTCATGTAGACGTGCACGGGTCATGACCTCAGATTGACAGGTTTCGGTAACAAGAGTGGCAAACAGGGGCAACAATTCTTCCAACTGGACTGGATTCAATCCATCCGATTCTTCAACCAATGATTCAACAATGGGGACTGTTCGAACTGATGCTGTTTCAACCTTCTTGGCAATGGCAACACGCTCCTTGCGAATCTGCATAGGAGCTTCATCAATGAAAGTGCAACACTTCTTGCAGAAAGTACGGTGTGTTGATTTGCTGGATCCCCTAAAATCGGTGTCATCATGAGGGCAATTTTCAGGGGACATCAACGGTACCATGTCACGCCTTGTTGTTTCGGAATGACCGCACACAAGACAGGTCTTCCTGATGGTGTACCCCGTAGAACCTTGTTTTGTAAACTCACGGCATTCCTGACACTTGTTCGGCAAAGGAGGATTTGGGGGTTTCTTTCTGCCAGTTCCCCGAGCCACCAATAAATCTCGGTGCTCACCAGGCTCAACAGGGACTTCACGCAAATGAATCCCATCAGCACCAACCACAAAGTACTTGTCAACCCAATTCAGCCACGTGACATAATATGGACTCTTGGGGGTATGTTTCTTGGCATGATGATAGTATCCTGTCTGTTCAAACAACACATTCCAAAAAGACAAACCCTTGAACTGTCCAACAGGAAAGATGCACCCATGGTCCTCGGGTCTCATTGTAACATCGAGATCCCGGGAAATCAAGCCAACGTTGCTGCTGGATGCTGCTGCACGTGAAGGTCGACTGCTAGGCTTCGCTTGTCGAACTGCCATCATAGCAACTCCATCTCTGTCACGATCAGGTGAAGCTGTCAGAGTCACACCATCGTCATCTGAAGAATCGCTCATGTCGGCAAAGTGAGCTGCGGGCTTTGGAGCTGACTTTCCTGGGGCTCCGGCTTTCGACCCCGGGAATTTACATTCCGGGTCACCGGCCCAGTGCCCTATGACTCCGCATCTCAAACATTTGCTCTTCGACTTCAGCTCTGTGAGCTTCCGTCTTCTCTGATCGATCGTGAGGTTGGACTTCACGATCTTTCCTTTCCCCTTTCCTTTGGGCTTCCCGAAGGATTTGCCCTTGCCACCTGCTTTCCCCATTGCGGTGAAAGCAGCAAGTTGTAGCTGGATGGCGTCTCCTGCTTGTCGATCGTCTTCTGCACCTTCAACTTCAAGCAAGCTGTTCAATGCAACTGCTTCGTACTCATCGACGTCGTCAAAGTAATCAAATTCGTTGTCACCTTCTAGGTTTCCTGGCTCCTCTTCTGCAATGTCACCAAGCATGCCAACATATGAATCATCCTCCCAGGATTGACCCACAGCTTCATCCCAAGATTCTGCATGTTCCTCCCCATCATCGGGGTAGGCTGCATAGGCTGCTTGGGAATACGATCCCTTCGAAGAAGGTTTGCCTTTGCCATAACCCTTGCCTGACGACTTGCCATGCTGTTGAGGATTACCACGTCCTGTCCAGGATCGTGACCCTTCTCGCAAGTGAGTGCCACTGTAGTTCTCGATCAGCACCTTGCCAACACCTTCAAAATCCTTAGTGTCTGCACAGGCCTTCACAACGAGGATCTCCTGTCGATTGAGCCCACTCAACTCTAACATCAACTCTGTCCTCAAGCTGTCTGAAAACACCATTGTGTCATCCAACTCGCATAGCATGTGCCACCAACGTCGTCTCCTCTGAACATAGGAAAGCATGGGTTCGCCTGGTTGGCGAGACAAAGGACCACCTTGCTTCTGTCCTGCTCGAAATAATTCCTTGGCTTCCTCGCGGGCTCTTGGAAACACATGGGATTTGATCTCACCCACAAGTTTCACAAGGCCACCAGGTTTGGACAACACTTCAAGTCCAAGATCCCTAGCTATTGAGAAAGCATCTCCTCTCAGTCCTTCAATCACCTTGTTAACCAATGGTCCACGATCAATGTCTGTCTTCTGCTTGCCGGACTTCGAGGATTTTCGGCTCGCTCCAGACTTCGGAGTCGAGACTGCTGATGTAGGCTGGGCTGCTTGAGTAGCACCCGACAAATCTGGAAAAGTAGCATACTCTTCTGCATCTTCTGCGGCTGGCTCTGTTGCTGTGGTCCCAACGGGATCCGCAGGCTTACTTGTCTCCTCCTCCAATTGTTGCTCATAAAGACGAATCCGAAGGAGAGTCCTGAACTGCCAATCATGAAAGTTCGCCGCATCACCTGCATAGATGTATGATCCACTCTTCGTCTCAAGTGGTGCCGACGAATGGCGTTCCTGATTGAAACGAAGGCCATTGATCGACATGATGCTCGCTCCGTTCGGAGTCGAACAAGGAAAAACGTTAACAAGTGTCTGCCCTGGTCAGGGTCAGACAGATTCCCGAACCACGACACACTCGAAGTTCAGTTGATTCCCAAAGTTACCAGACTCAAATTCACAAAGGGTTCCCTGGGTCACTGACGTACCACCGGATGCAGGTCGTCACCTGCTCCGCTACCAATATGAATTGGAAACGGGATCGTCAAATGCCCAACTTTTACCACGGCAGCGCGGTATGACTCAAGGGCCCTAAAGCCAAATGTCAACGGGGCATGTGATCACTTGGCTATACAAAATATACATTAGACAGGTCAAACTCACATATGTTAATATGGTTTATAAGCCGATTTGTAACTAGGGGAGCCCACATTCTGCCAACCAAAGCCTGAAATGTGCTAAACATGTTAGAAACAAACATGGTGAGAGCATTCTCCAAGATGCTCGCCCTCCTCGGACCATGGAGCCACAGGCTCCTCCTGTTCCGTGTCGCTTCCTCCACCTGAGAAATTTGGTGAAAGGATGGTAATTTTAAGTATAAGCCTTATGAATACAGCTATACAGACTTTTTCTGAATATTTGCAGGAAACATGTATAATGATGTAAAATTGCACGCAAATTTCATCAAAAATCATGATGTTTGGTAATGTTTTTGGCGAAACACTGTGCAACTGTGGGGGGAGCATACCCCGTTTTCAGCACTTGTTCCAAGGTTTTGGTTGATGAAAGGGGCCTTCGAACTTGGGCAAAAGCTGTCCATCAAACAACCATAAACAGTGCTAGAAGCTGTCCAGCCAAGTGCAGCTTGGAGGCTATTTTCGTAAGTTTCCAAAGTGGTAGCACGGACAGCCACCGCTTCGTCGTGATCCATCAAGGATTGAGACGTTGGACTGGAAGTCTCCACGATGCAGTTCGCATCGTCCGGCCTGGTTTCCTTAGAACGCGAATCGGCGAATCATTGGCCATGAGAGCTGAGGACCAGGATGTCATCAATCTTCCATCAAGTCATACTAAACAAATAGAAAATGGCGCCAATGGTCACCCCTTCTGGGATCCCTCAAGTGAAAAAGGGTGGTTGGTGGGTAGGTAAATGGCAATGTCTTTCACATCCGAAATCGATCTTATGTCCTAGAGGACAAAGAGGTAAAATTAAAGATATTCAACAAATTCCATCCAATTTCATCCAGATTAACCTCCTGTCTCATCCACCTCCCGTACTCCTGCCCTTCCCCACAGTAATGTTCTCCAACACAACAATGTCCTTCCGGGAAAACATGGGAAAACCAAAGAGGTCAGTCAGTCTGCTATTTGTTCATGATCATCATTGATTTCAATGGAAGTTGTCTGGTACAGTCACTGCTACACCATGTATCGTCATTGACCTGTCACCTGTGAAGAGAATTAAAGTGGAGATACCCCTCAATCAACCTCTGGCCGTGAGCTTAGCTTAGTTAGTTCGTAAGTGGCTTGTACAACCACTTCTCCACGTGGATGTGGAGTTCATCCCCAATATATGAAGGGCAAAGAAACACTTACAATGATCAACACATCATTATAAATCTATGATGCCCGCATTATAATTCTATACCACCATTTGTTTTGATTGCTAAACGTCGTAGAAGTTAGATCATCTCATACGAATCCCAGCTGATTCTTTAAACACTGCAAACATTGGGTAGTATAGTATAACCCCCTAGAATCCTACAATAGACTTACTCCCAACACCCCAACTACAAGTGGTGTCAAATTGGATTGCAAAGGTCAAATTACAATTTCCCCTCTTGGGTATCACTTATCCGGTTGTAGGTTGGAGCAACCTTAGTAACATTGTGACATTGTTTCAATATGTCCGGTTGGTGGTATACCTACCCCTCTGAAAATATGAGTTCGTCAGTTGGGATGATGACATTCCCAATATATGGAAAAATAAACATGTTCCAAACCACCAACCAGCTATAATCATAATCAAAGACATCCAGGAAATTTTCAGGATCCTATGGGTCCAGATTAAAACCACCAACCAGTTAAACATGTTTAAAATGCATAAATCCCTGAAAAATCACAAGATCTACTGGCAAAATCCTCAGAATGTTGCTTCAGTTCAATCCCCAGGTTTACTGGCCGGTGAGCCTCTGGTTAAACGAACAAAAAACTATGGAAAATCACAACTTTTCAGAAAGATCAATCAACATAGATCAACTATAAATGGGCCATGCTCCTCCATGTTCTATATATTTTGTTCCTTCTTTCCAGGCTAAAACCAGCCGTTGAAAACGGCGTTTTCGGCGCCACGCCACCGTGATCGCATCGAGGCATTTCCGTAGAGTCGTGGAAGGCGACGCTGGCGAGGCATCGGATCCGCCGCCTGGCAAGGACCACCAGGGGATCATTGGTAAATCCCCATTTTTAATGGGTAAATCCACTAGAAATGGCAGGTTTCAATAGCTATGTTTGTTTACCAGAGGATCCAGAGGGTATACTGGTTATTTAACATAGCTATTGAAAATGGCCCAGTCGAAATAGTTATGATATACCCATTAAAAATGGGTGGATTTTCCATAGCTATGTAAACGTTTACCCGAGGGTAATCATTGGTATATTCCTTTGGTAATCATTGGTAAATTCACCAGGTAGTCATTGGCAATCATTCCAATCATTGTTTAACAGAAACTGTGTTGGAATGCCTTTGGATTATTCACCCGCCCTGAAATTCTGAAATTCAACATCCCCGAAACAAAGTGACTTCGTCTCGAGGCCACACTTTTGGGAACCACTTAGCAGGCAACTTGAGACTTCAGGATGGTGAACTGGAACCGAATTCTAGAGATGTACGAGTGTATGGGGGTACTGTTGAAAATCCTTCTTGTGGTGCCAGGGCCACTGACACTGCAAGTAGAAAGCTATAGATTTGAGCTCAGAAGGAACAGTGAAAGGAGTTTGATGGATTTTGTGTGAGGTTATTGAACTACTGTATCAAAAAATGGAGTGTGCAAACCAAAATTCGCAGAGTTGACCCAACTATTGGTCCTTGGTCCGTGTCCTGGAGATCCTCAGGATCAAAGGGCGGGAAATCATCAGTGACTTCAATTTAATCCAGTGAGAGCATGGCTATACCTGTCCATGTATCACAATGCGTTTTAACCAACCAGGTATGGACAGGTACTTTGAGCTCAGCGGCATGTGGCTTTAAAGACCTGCCAGCCCTTACCCATATGCCCCATGTGTGGAATATGGAGTAATTAAGAGTTACCCCCCAACAAAAAGACTCAAATATACTGTAGGTATACCAAATCAAACATGGAGCCAATGAGTAGCCCCTCACCTCGGAGTTGTTGGTTCTCAATCTCGAGCTCTTGCAGTTTGGCACTTTGCCGCTCAAGTTCGCCCGACAACTGCTCAAGGATTTCCCGCCACCTCTCCGGCATTCGCCGTTTGTTGTGGACCCCGGTGCTGGTGACACCAAGGGGGACCACGGTTGTCCAGGAAATATAACCCCTCCTTTGGAGAAAACGCTGCCCACTTTCGAGCTGAGCCAATCACTACGGCCATTCGCACATGATTTGAACATTGTAGACCAAGAAGAACATTGTAGACACATTGCATGAACATGGTAGGTAGGCTCTTGCGACCATCGCGCCCTGAAAACCTGAAGTCAGGGCTCATCATTTCAGTTAGGGATGGCCCTGCCATCCAACAAGAGGTACTGTGTGTTCCCCTGCACTCTTATTGGAAGCCCAAAGTCGCTTGAAAGGGAATCCAAATTGTAGCGCGACTCCATGCCATGAGAGTCTCTGTCTCTCTCTCTCTCTCTCTCTCTTGCGCTATCGCCTGACATGAGAGATCATGAGAGTCTATATTGATATCTATTGAATCTATTGGTGCGCTCTAACTCAGCAAAGCAGTTGTGATCAAAAAATGCAAGGGAAGTTTGCCGGACACCCCAAGTCTTGATGCTTTACACCACCTGGGAAATGGCCACCTGAACCCAATGACATCAACCCTCATTTCAGAACGGCTCCCAGAGGTGAGCAGCACTAAGCCGATCCGCCAAAGGATCCCCAGGGCACCCTACGATGAACTGCTGGCCTCTGAAACTGCATCATCCACCTGCGCGACCGACCACCAGCTCATCCCTGTGGGAAACAATATCCTGGGCCTATCGTCCAACTCTTTAAGACCAATTGGCCAAGTGAATTGACCTCCAATGCCTAGCTTTGAACACATGAAATAACACAAAAAAACACCGGATGCTGATCTGTAATATGCATTTAACATGCATTCAAATGCCCTAAAACATATCCGTAGCACCAATTCATGTCAGCCCGAATGTTCATCAGTGGAGTATCAAAGGGGAGAGGGGACAATGGAACATTTTTGGGTTATCACCAACATGTTTGGGACTCTCAACAAGTCAGGAAATAACCTTGTGAGCATCTGGGCTCAACACAATGATTCTCAGCATCTCCAATCACCCCTTGGGTTTGCCAATAAGCCCCAAAAATAATGGAAATCATGGCAATCTTGAAATGAAACAGAATGAAACCATATCCCATAGGATCCATGGTGCTGGTATATATGCTAACATTTGGGATATATGGATGGTAAATGTTATCAGATATCATATATAGCAGCACCATGGATCCTATGGCTATCCTTTCTGGGCCATTTCGAAGCCCGCCCCCTTCTTTTTCATCCGCTGAGATTGTCGACCACTTGGACCACGACACCTCAGCGTCGCAGCTGGGGGCAAATACTTGGACGAACATGCCACACAGCCTGAGGTGATTCACATGGCGACAACAATCCCAACTTTTAATGGGAACAGTTATATAATCCTGTAAGCCTGGCTGCTGTCCAATTGCCAGGTTGGATCAGGTTGGTGAATAGTACCCAACTTGACCAGCTAAAGGTTTGATACTTCCTACATCTACATGCCCGACATGGAATTTACATGGGATCATTATTGCTTTCCCATGATTGACCACGGAGTCTTACATCGACTTTCAAGCGTCGCGTTGCTGCGATTCGAGCCCATTCTTTTTGGTTTCCTGCATGAATTGATCCGCGCTTGCCGCGTGGCGCTAGTATCCAGCTGGAAAGCCACCTACTTGACCCATTTCTTGAACTGGCGCGCCGTTGCACACCTCAGCCGTGGATTTTGTTGGCGACCCGTCGGCGATCTGGCAATGACCAGAGTAGCAGTCGAAATTCCAAGCAGGACACTTTTCACAGCATGGAATCAAATCCATTCAACTAACCTTTGACTCGTTTGAACAGCGGCTAGATCAGTTTTCTCTCCTGGTGCTGCCCAGGTACGTAACCAATCCGCAGCTTCATGATCAAGGCTTTCTCGCCATTGCTGGAATTCACGCAGCTCATGCTTTGGGTCACCAAATCCGCCGTATTGGGCGGCAAGATCTGTCCCGTAGCCGGCTGCATAGTCAGCGTCACGAACTTTGGAACGGCGGCTTCGAAGACGAAGTTTGTCATGGGCACGTTCAAGCCTCAATTCATTCGCAGGACCCACAAAAACCATACAAAACCAAAGATTGAAATCCTCACCTTCTAATCATTGAATAGCCAAGAATATTATATATATATATATATCATTATATCCATTATAATAAAATATAATATATATATACCTTCATCTCACTTGTCCTTCATTTATAGGTCCTACCCATATTTTTTTAAAAGCACGCCCCTATCATAAAAACACGCCCCTTTCACAAAAACACGCCCCTTTGTATTTTTTGATATTTTACATACTCTTTACATTCCCCCTTATTTCATGTGATGATGCTTCATGATGCTTGATGATGCTTTGCTGCTAAATACATAACCACCAAGAATTAGCAATAGTCAACACACAACTGGTCTTGTTGTTGGTTGAACTGCCGTACAAGATCAACTTCAAACCCAACCTTTAGTATTTTGGGGAAACTTTGCCAAGAGTAACATAAAATAACTCCCATCAAAATTTAGCAATTCAAAAAGAACACATACCTGCAAACACCAGGTTCCCCATCTCCCCTCCAGTTTTGCCATTTGGCACGCTTTGCTCCATCCTTGCTTTCGGTTCTAGTACTGGCCGAGGTTGACACTGGCAACACTATAGTAAACCCCCAGGAAATTGCTGTCAAAGTGGACTGAATGGATTATTTGTTTTTGGGGACTAGCTCAAAAAAATGAGGTTGATTTCAACTTGGCGCCAACCCTCGTCTATCTTGATCTGAGTTCTCCAGAGCTTGTTGAACATTGATTAGGGACCTCTCTACTACCCGCAAATGTAATTGGCGGACATCCACCCTCCGGCTGAGCCGGCTTGGACGTCCTATGAAATCCTCCTGCATTTGAACGCTCTCGGAGAGCGGGTTTTTTACCCACACCCCAAGAGTACTTTCCCTCCTCAGTCTATCTGCCGCATGATGGATGTAATGCATTTTTGGCATTAAGCCAAAGCGGTGAAATCCCTGCCGCAAACAACACTCAGCGCATTTGGTGTACCCCTGTAGGAAAACCATGATGAGTTTCGACAGCTGCAATCCATGATGTGCTAATATCCAGAAACCACTGGCATACATAAAGCTCATGGCCATGTTGATCGCTTTGGTTGCTTTTGCCTCATATGGTCCCCCAGCACTATCAAACATAGACTTGTCAACTTGTATTTGCCCAAGGAACTAAAGAGCAAAAAGGAAAACAGTAAATCAAACATTTTTCTGAAGTAATATTGCCAAAAACCACTGTGAGCATCACTTGATCATCAGTCTGGTTGGTCACAAAACGGTCGCAGAAGTTTTCTAGGTACCGCATGAACTGACTTGCCACAACGCCTTTGCTCCACCGACCAACTGGGCAAGACTTGGCCTGTGGAAAGCTCATGGTTTCTCTGCTGATCTCCTTCAAATACGGGTGGATGTTGTTTTGCTGACAAAATTCTGCAAAGTCATCTGTGAACCATTGAAACCGGGCATCGACCGCAGCAACAGGAAAACAGTCCAGCCGTTCTATGGCACATACGATGCTGCTGCCAATCCAATGCTTGCATAAACCAAGATGAAAATTGTGCCATATATCTGTCATGAAAAAGGATTGTTTTGCGTTCTGGTCCAAAGGAAGGTGAGACAGCAACACAGGTTCCGAATCCCATGGCAAAGTCGAACCCAAAGTAGTAGTCCAACTGGCATTTACTGATGTGTCCTCATATGGGTGGGATTGTTCATCAGCATTTCTACCTTCCAACCCAGCATCACACATCCAGCAAATACCCCGACAAGGTTTCTTTGAACTCCCTGCCCTTGGCACGTGGGAATGCGTCCGCTTCATGCCTGCCAACTTTGCTAGCGCCGGGAGATCTCCTAGGTGGAGCAGAAGGATGCCACAATAAAAAGAAACATCAACCCTTGATCATACTAAAACATACTTCTCCCAGACAACCAAAAACCTTTTGAGTTCACACTAGGCAACCCTTTGTTCCCAAGTGGATGATCCTGATATGTCCCTCCGGGCCAACCAATCCGTCATGTGCTAGCCTTGACATATCTTCAGCATAGGCTTTCAAAATTTTGTCCATGGCCCCTGGTGTCTCATTCAAGGAAGCCCTAAGGGCTGAAGCCGTCATAAATTGGGTGGCCCATGTCGAACCAATGAAATTCAGTCCCATAGGCCGATGCTTGATAGGAACCAAGTGGAGTTTGCGGCTGATGTAGGTTTTGGTGCCCCTCCCGATGCATCCGTGTGTGGATAAAACCCAAAGCGGCTGGTGTTTGTATGAGCGCCCTTCATCTGTGTGTGAATACACTGGAACAGTCATTGAGAGGTCCACATCCTCCATTTTGAAAAGGTCATGGTTGCTATGTAAAGCCTTGTAGCGATCCCAAAATTCTGTTAGCACCTCTTTCATCTCACGGAAGGTGCTCACACCACATAGCTGTCGGCAAAAACGTCCAGTGTTCAACAACAGTTTTGCCCAATCGGAAAACAAAATGATTGCAAACTTTTGGAGGTTGCCAGGTCCCAACTTGATGTAAGAAAGCTCCACTGGGGCACTACAGCCGTACTTGCGAAATAGAGCATGGCACCTTGTTTCTGCATGGGCTGGGTCGATATCAGCAAATTCTTTGGTTGCTCTGCTGGCATTTGGGTTTCTCCGAACCTCTTCTTTCGCAAGCTCCACGATGTGGCTGCATGGAGCCTCGGCAACATCCCAAGATCACACTAAAAAAAGACTATCAAAAAAGATCCGCTTGATGACTCCACAATTTTGAAAAATGAGCTGGGCTTGAGATCTTGATGATTCATATATATATATATTATATACAGATGATTTGATATTAATCAAGTAGATATGATATGCCTGGTTGTGCCTGCTCTTGCTGTGCTTGATGAACATGTGCGATGATTATGATGACCTGCATACCCTCACACACACACAACACTTTTTTTTTCTCCGCCTTTTCCCAACGGGATCTATCCCACCCATCGAGATTGATCTGCCCTGCCAGCAGTGACATATAGATAGTAGGGTGGCTTTGTTCGGTTTTTCCGGTTGAGCGCACCCTCGCCACCGGTGTCAGGCTCATTTTTGCACCCGACATGCTTTTGAAATTCGGAAATGACAGCTGCCTCAAGCATGTTGATTTGATCAACACTTTTTGAGACAGCAATGACCCACATACAACTGTAATTCTTCTCCACATAAGTCGAAAACCGAAGAGGAGGATTTGACGTAATACCAATTTTGAAGCAACAAATTCGAACACCAATTTCCTCCCTCAAAGTGCTTACTTGAGCTTTGCAGTGTGCTAACAATTTTCCACAAAGCATATGTTCTGACCGTTGGCATCGGTAAAAAAGCCCATGTGACTTGAGCTGCCCCCAATCAAAGCCATCAGCAGTAAAAGTGGCACCAACTTCAGCAAAGAATTGAGCGCTGGGAGCAGCGGCAGCGATTTCCTTAGTTCAACCAAAAAAAAACGACACAGGTGGGGTACTGCCAGTTGGGATTCAACAACATTTGTAAGATGACAAGTATCAGAACTATTCTCAAAAATCAAAAATAACACGTAGGGTGATTTCAGCCAATCGGCAGATCGGTTTGCCATGGCAGTTGCCTTTGACGAGACTTGAGGACACATGGATGTTGTGGCACCGGTGTTTCCCCTATGGAAATAATCATCGTAGTTTGGGTCAGCAAAGTCCTCACCAGTGGACATGGTGCAAGTTGGCATGGGTGACGCCGATGCTGATGCCTTCTCATCTGGTTCAGTCACGTTGAGCCTGGGGTAACATGGAGGAAATTCTGTGCCTTAAAAATTGCTCACTCTTGAAGGATGCTTCGTATACAACATATTGCACCCAAGGAACTTTTTTTTTTTGGATGGGTGAACCCACGGTGTCAAAGGACCCAGCTGTTCTTTTCTTCCCAGTCACCGGACAATCATAAGACAGCAGCAGGCACAGAAGGTCATCGTCATCATCATGTGGATCCATGGCCGGAAAGCAAAAACATATTAGAGATAGATACTGCTTTGTTCAGAAATGATGGCACCTGGTTCCAACATCATATCAATACTCCCTAGCCGAGCATTATGGTAGTCATAGAATTATGGTAGTCATTATGACAGTGTAGCAACACGTGTTGTCCATGATGCTTGAAGACCCTGAAAATAGCTGAGCTGCCAAAAGCATGGGTGTCTGGACATTCATGTGTCCATATTTCTTCCCACCAACCCGGCCAGGATTTTGAGTGCCCGGGCTCCGTTGGAAATCAGCCGAGCATAGTGACGAAGGAGCCGATCTGGTTGATCGTTGTTGGCGGCCCTACCTGGCAGCACGAGCGAACTTGTGTGTGTAGTACATCCCCCTTAACTGTAATGTTGATGGGATTGGGGACTAGGACTAAGATGCCACTAGGGATTTGGTGTTGATGCCACAAGTTCCTTACAACAATATACTGACCTGCTCAAATAGCCAAGAGCCCTGTTGTCTTTTCCCGCGCTACCCAAAGCTAGGTTATCCCAGCGTTTGATCTTCACAAAGCGCAAACCAAGCCATAGGCTTAAGGCTTGGTGCGTTGCCCCAATCTTTGATATCATTTCGTTGCGGCAAGTTTCATTGCCACACTTTCACAAAACCAACATAGCTGAAATCAGCTAGGCTCAACCCCTAAACAGCGCATCTCAACACTGCTGCTGCAGTGACTTCAAAAGGTTCCTTAGGGTGATGGCCATGATGGACCATTGGAGATTGAATCGAAAAGTAGTATCATTCTCATGCAGGTTCCACCCTTTAAAACTTGAATGCATATAAGCTTCTTCCCCGATTGCTCAGCCGTGGTGACCTTTGCGCACCTTATCATTGAGTTTGCTTGGATAGCAAGGTATGGAAAAAAAACATAGCATATGATAGGAAACAATGACTCTCACGACATTTGCTGTACAGTATGTTTTTTGTTCTGCTCAGGTTAAGTTTGCTGGCTAGACACGCCAAAGTTGTCTCCTTGATCTGAACATGCACCATATCTAGAAGCCTTGGACGTGTTGAACACTAATCATTCCTTTTGGCAAGTTGAATTTCCATTTGCAGTGTTCTATTTCTTGAGGACACTTCAATAAATGATGTATACTGTATATACATGCATTCATGTAAGTAAGAAGCTTCTCTTTCTGCTTCTCTTCGATCTTGTCACACAGCAAGTCCGATACCTCGGCCTTCTTTGCCTCGATTCCCTCGAACTCCTTTTCCAGGATCTCGATGGCATTCTCAAGTGACTTCAAAGTCCTTGGCCAAGGGGGTCTGATCGGTCAGAATAAATGGTGGGATAGAGATTGGGAAAAAACATCTATGGTTCTGTGTTGGTTGTTTCAACCCCTGGCCTGGTAACACGTTTCTTCTCCATGGATCCCTCCGGCTTTTCTTGGACATGACTTTCCAACTTTGACATCAGGTCAGTGACTTTGGCCGAACGGGCCAACAGGGAATCACCAAGTTTCTTCATGTTTTTGTACTCCTGCTCAGGGATAAGAGTTTTGAAACAAACCGCAAAGCCTACACTACAACCCCTTGATTAACAAACACTCACTAGAAGAAACATCAAAAATTGGAATTGGAATACCCTATTGGACTGAATAACAATTCTCCTGTGGGCCACCGTTGGCCTGCACAGACTTACCCTTGGCATCTTCTTCCTCAGACTCACTTTCTTCACCATTGGATGGCAACTCTGCCAAGGCCTTTGACTTCCTTTGCAACCTTTGGAATCGCACTGGACTGTCAGCCTGCAGGAGCGAGATGGGAGCTGGAAACAGGGAGACCACATATTAAATACCCCAAATTGGATTTCTATGTGAATGGTTGTCAGTGATGCCTCACCTCAAGCTCTTCCGTTTCCCTCAAAGTTTCAACATCTTCACCGCACGACTCATCGGACTCAGCAGTCTCCACATAGTATTTTCGAATCTTCTTATTGTACTTGTCTTTCCTTGGGCCCACTAATCCAACAAAGTCACCATACATTATGACATGATGTGAAGGATAAAGTCATGGGGGCAGGAAAGGAATTGCTTTCAGCTGAAAGTTGAAAGATGTTGAACATGTTTTTTGTGGCATGTAAAGACCCAATGAAGGCAAAAGAGCCACCAAGTTTCTTCCATAGGTGTTCGTTCCCTTCCTTCTCGCAGTACTTGACAACGCCTGCGATGTATGACCTGAAGCGGGCAATCTGTACAACCCTGTTTGGTACTAGCTATGATGGTGGATGGTTACAAAATGTGTACATGCAGATATTATATAGGAGAGAACTTCGTACATCTCAGCATGTAGGAGCTCAGAAGATACCAGTTTGATCCTAGGAACTTGCTCCATTGAAGTTTTTTTCTCCATAGCTTCTTTGGTATACCATCCTCTTCTATTGGTTGATTTTTTCTTGGCGGTAGTCTCATGGACCTTGGTGACTTTCTTCACGAATGCATCCTTCCCAGGGGTGAGTGATGCATCATGGCCAAGAGAACAGCAGGAACGCATAAACTTGTTTATAGTTTATTGTTTATTGTTTATTGGTCTGGACATCCCAGGGTGGAAGTCTTTGAAGGGCTCAATGCATAGTATATATATAATTTTGTGGTGAAACGATGTCAAGAAATCAAGATGTTGAGGATCAAATTGAAGCACCAGTTTACCAAACCCTGTCCGGATTCCAGTCACTTGCTTCAAGTTGTTCCAAGAGTTCATCCCTAGCACGGCCCTTCTGGAGCCATTTCTCATGTACTTCAAGTGGGACGTGTAACTTGCCACTTGGCTTTCGCTCGCACAGTCGTCTCAGCCGGCCCAATTTTGCACCTTGGGTCAGCTCCTCGTTGTCGCTGTCCGACCCTGGTGCGTCAGGAGGAGCAACCTTGGACGAAGCACGTGGCTTAGCCGAGGCCGGGGATGGACCTGGGTGCTTTGCACTTGGAGTGGCAGTAGTGGAACTCGTACCAGGGGAGCTCTTCTGAACTTTCTTAGCCTTTTCCATTTCTTTTGCCATCAGGTCAAGCTGAGCTTGCATCTTGGCATTTGCCTACATGGATGGGAAGTTTTCAAGTTCAGATATTCAACATGTAGAAAAATCAGCAAAAATACCTGGCATAATATTTCTGAAAACCACTTGCAAACAAAATCAATGATCCCAGGCCTGCTTCAAAGAGTCGATTTGAGAGTTAGGGTCTGGGTCTGGCTGCTTACCCCTCTGACGCTTGGACACTGGTGGCGCCGGGGATTGAACAACCTCTGGTGTACTTTCAGGAACTTTGGGGCACCGCTTCCCATCTTTGACTGGGGTCTCCGACTCCTTGCTGGATTTCCCACTCACTTTGGAAGGGGGTGCCGCCTTTGCAGCTGCTGCAGTCACAGGGGCAGACGAAGCTGTCTTCGCTGACTTGGGTGCCGGTGCTGCTTTTGCAGCTGTGGGTGCTGACTTTGCTGGCTTCTTCCCTTTGTTAGCATTCATCCTGGAATTTTTCAATTCCTCTTCTGTAGCCTCAACTCTTTAGGTATCAAAGGATTGGATGAGAACAACTTGGAAATACCAAATCAATGGTGGACATTGTGTGTTTCCAGATCTCCCCAAAGTCGTAACAATCCACAAAGCGAGTTCCCAACACTTGCATGCAGGATACTGGGATAGTGTCAGCTTCCTTGGCAGGTGGCCACCAAGAATAATGATCTATTGGGGTTTGCTTATCACAGAAACACTATAGGGATATATATGGATATATATGCTAAATGCCAATAAGAAACTTCAACATTGTCATCATACTCATCAACTTGACCTCTCAGAGTACTGATTCCAATGAGGTCTGTGGAAACGTGCTAGTAAATTGAAAATTTAGAGGGAAAACAAATAACAACAAATCCTAAATTTATCGAGGGAAAGTGCTGATTTGAAAACAAAAACGAATGCTGCTATGTAGTAATATGAAATATATCCAACAAAACCAAACATAGCTACATTTAGTTTCATTTGTTTGCATGTATTTAAGTTTAGATATCTACGAGTAGATGTAAGAAGCTACATGTAGATACATCTAGTTATATATAGTTCCAAAAAAGAAGCTACATATAGCTGCATAGACTTAGAGCTACATATAAGTTACATATAGCTACATATAGGTATACATATAGTTGCATATAGTGTCTTATAAAACCTTAACTTAACTTGACAAGCGAAGAACAAAAAACAAATGGCTGCCAAGCAAGATTGTATTTCCAGATATTTCCAGACACAAGCCGAGCAGGCCGAGCACACACAGTTTGCTTGTTTTTTTTCATTCTCCTTCACACTGGCTGGCTACGTACGGACTGCTTTCATCCTCATGCAGCAACATAGCCTAAGATCGTGACCCAAAGTCTAGACCCTTTGCCACTGCAACAGTTGCTAATCACAACTTTAATTTTCTCAATTACGTTGTTTTCCTTCCTCCTCCGTAATCTGACAATGTTAATGGAAAATGGCAACAAACAGAGAAGTACGGTGGCATGGGCCCAAACACGCAAACCAAGTTTCTTTGTGTACCACGCTTGTGCGTTTGGCACCTGTGCTGATTTTGCCAATAACAAAGTACTACACATTGCGTCGCGCGTACAAAATGTACAGTGCAAGTGCAAGCTAGACTCAGACTACACTGAGAAAAAAAAACGTTCGAGAAAAGGTGCCAACGCCGCCCAGACCGCTTGGACATAACATGTCACAACGTCAAACTCAAACACATGTATATATTAAATATATGTATGTATATTGACTCAACTGCCAACACTGCTAAGCACAAAGAAAACACGAACCCGAGTCTGAATCTGAAACCAGGCTGAGATGGCAGGCTTTCACAGTTTACTCAAATCACAACGTCAAGCGGTGGAAACTGGCAATTGGCTAAGACAGCTGCAGTTTGTCGCAACTGCCGCCACTAGTAACTCCATGTCTCCCACGATCATGCACGTTTTTGCACTGTTCGTGGACCTCTAGAATTACGATACGGATACGGATACTCTATGTAAGCAAGGAACATATGAGAACAAACTTGTCGATTCGTCTCTCAGTCTCAAACTGAGTCTGGCTCCCAAACATTGAAGGTGCCCAGATCTGAAAACACCCAATCAGAAAATCTATCAGCACCACTCAGGAATCAGAAACCACTCAGCTCGGCTGATTGATCACCTTCACTTGGATGATCGTGCTTTGCCCGGCTTGCCCTTCGCCTTCAGCTCAGCCTCGGCCTTCATCTTCGCCTTCGCATTCTTGTTCTTTGCGACAGAACTCTCCTGCCATGCCACGGGTCAGAGGTAACATAAATCACTGATCTCGTTTTAGGGTCTAGATCCGTGGGGTGATCATCATCAGATGCCCCCGTAAGGGTGACAAATTTGAAACAGATTTCGATGGTAAAAGACAAAAAACTGAAGTTTGTTGTGCCACAGTGCTGGACCTTTTTCAGCCAAAGTAAGGTGCAGTGTCAACTGAGACATTTTGAACACTGTCCAAAGTTGACAATGCCATATCGAGTTTCCAAACCTTGTTCAGAATTGCTCGACATGACTCAAACTTGCCCGACAAAAATGTTCAAAATTGATCGAAATGACCCACACTGGCCGGAAGATACTGCTCAAAATTGCTCCAAGTTGCGCAAAATTGCTCAAATGGCTCAAATTGCCCAACAAGTGTCTAAAGTCTATAGGAGTGATGTGCTTGTAATACACGGGTGCGAAAGTTGTCATCACTTGGCATTGCTGTTGCCGGTGTCTATTGTTGCATGGGCTTAAGGTCAGTGTCAATTGAGCCGAGGTGATGCCTGCTGCTACGTTCAGATTCAGAACCTTCAATTGTCAGTTTCAATTCACTAACAGGGATCAATTGTCATTAGATTGACTGACATAGTTTCAATTAACGGCTTATCCCAAAAAAAACATCAATGCTTTGAGAGAAAAACACGTTCCGCAGTCTCTTTTGTTTCACTACTGCCTCTTGGTGATACCACAATCAGGCAGTAACTTCTGTTTATTATTGTTTTATTATTTTTTGAGATTTGAAAAGTATCGGCATTGGATCTAAACCTGACGGATCTACACCCCAAATTGCGAACATTGAATAAAGGTGCCTATCCCCCACCACTTTCACCAAAAAAAACTCATCGTCCTCCAAATGTTTGCCAGCATCGCCACGACCATTTCCACGCCCGCGGCCTCGTGCACGGGTGGCATTTGCATGTCCGAATCCTCTTCCTCTGGCAACTTTTGGCTCCGGCTTGGGTGCTGCTTTTGCCTTTGCGGCATTGGGGCGTCTGGGGCTGGGGCTGGGGCTTGCAAAAAGTTCGCCTTTCTCCATGGATGCATCCATCATTTCTTCCAGAAGGGCTTCCAATGATCCTTCATCTTTTGAATTTGATCCATCATCATCACCACCCGCCCTCTCAACATTCGATGGGTCACTTGTGGTGACGGACACGGCTGCATTTGGAGTAGAAGGTGTTGCAAGTGCAAGAGCATCTGCAGCCTTGCCTGAGGATGCACTAGCATCGGCATGGTCACCAGCAGAAACACCCTTCAGGAAACTACTTCGAATATCAGCCTGCACAGCCAATTTCTCTGCTGCCACCGACGCACTTGGCCTGGCAACAATCCGGGTGTTGCCATAGCACTTGTCAAAAGCAGACTGACGTGCATTCCCAGATAGCTTGTTGGTTTCTGGGTCGAGGTATGTCAAAATCACATCTGAATTGACCACTGGCATCTGCGGAAGTTTTCCTGGATCGGTGAAGACTGTAATTGGTGCTTTCTCACTGCCCGCTGGCTTTGGCTCGGGTGCGTCGGGTGCTGCTGCTGCTGTTGCTGCTGCTGTCTCAGTCTCGGTCTCACTGTGCTCTTGGTGGTTTGCACTTGTAGCTGCCCGCTCTTGCCTTTGCTCAATGGCAACAACGGGCACGGACGTACCCTCGCCCTCACTTGCGGACTTTTGGTCACATGTGACATCGGGATTGATGGTGGTGGCGGGGATGGGATCTGATCCTACGGCTGATGCTGACACTGCATCTTCCGCTGGCACCACTGGCACTACTGGCACTGCTGGCTCTCGCTCCTGCTGAGAAGAAATCGCTGACGATGCAGGCTGAGGTTCATTCTCAATGATTGCGCCTTTTTGCTTGTGCAAGTATGTGATCCAAGATACCATATCTTCAAGATGGCCACCGCCGTCACCACCAAACTCCCATTCATCCTCAGCAAGCCCTTCAGCCTTTCTTGTATATTGGACAAATGCTTGGAACTCCGGATGTTTTTTTGCTTCCAAGATATCGGAATCAATGGTCTCAAGCTCGGAAATGTCGCCGGTGTTCATGTCCTGTCAGTGGTGTGAGATCGATTTCAGAAATACATCCCGAAAAAATGCAAACAATCACAGAGCAACTTTTCTAATTTCAAGTCACCATGAGATAGCCTTTTCTCAGACATATATTAGCACACATTTCCACCTGCCTGCTTGTAGTACCGCCGCAGCGCATCACACAAATCGCTGACAGTGCATGTGTCTGGAAGGCCTAGGCCAAAATCAATTTTGGAATAGTCAATGCCAGCGGTAGTGGCGGCGACGGCGGGTGTGGTGGAAGGAGCAGCATGCAGCTTACGCCTTGGAGATCGGGATCGGTCTCGGGGATCTTCCTGCTTGACCTCTGCAAGGAGCAAGAATTTGTCCATCAACTGAAGCCCGGACTTGAGATGTCCCAAAATCTTTTGAAACTTCTCTGGTGCTTCATCAGGAATGTCGAGTAGCCCTTGTTGATGTACAAACGTACTTTGAACTCGCCAAGTGTTAGCACCACTGCGACCACTAGGATAAAGACATGTCCATGTGATGACTTCGCATCCAGTGGTTCCAAGGCAGCACTCAAGAATCATGTAGCCGGAGGGCACAACCAGAATGTCGCCAGGGCCGAGCAAACAATAGAACCCCTGAGAGATGATGTCTTCCAGGCTCTGCTTGCGAAACCACACTGCACAATCCCCAAGCGATGCAGGCGACCGATTGAAATTCTTCTGGAATGAGGTGATCAAAGAATGTAAAGGAATGCCAGTGTAGAGCCTGCATCCAGTCACACAGTAAATCACCCGTCCTAGCATCATATCCGTCAAACCACATGTGGCTGCATCAGCAGGGAATTTGTGAATCTGCAAAGACTGCAGGCTTTGGATTTTTTCTGCATCAGCGTGTTCAGGAAACTGATCTTTCAAGCGGTTGGCTTGGTTGAACATCCAATCAAAGACTGCAAATGTCGACGCGATAGTCTCATGAGTGAATACCTGGTTTTGTTTGCAACTCACCCGTGTCAACAAACAATGGATAGGCCATAGCAGCTGAACAGTTTAATGATTGAACCAACGCACTCACTAATCAAAACAGATGACAAACACAACAACATATTATAGTAGCTAAGTGACATAGGATGAAGGAGATTGTCCATCAGGAACCATTGCTTGGCAGGATTTTTCTAGCTGCGCAGAACATTCTCCCCACCATGGCGGGGATTCTGGCACCATCCCTGCATGATCCTGTTGATCCCATTGAAGTAAGATTGCGTGGCCATTGCTTGGGGGAAACATGAGCTCCTTGCAGCTCTCCAACATTTCGATGTAAAACACCTGGACATTTGCACTGGCTTCCATGCTCAAAGAAGACGAAGTAATCAGTCCGTTCTCGATCATTTCGAAGATGGCCATGCTGGAATGCGTCAAAACATTTTGCACAAGCTTTGGAATGCCACCATCCATGCTCTCTTGCTCGCGATGCACAGCTTCTGGTGCATCATCAAAGTCATCACCACCCTTATTCTTTTTTTTGGCTTTGAGCATTTCTGCTTCTCGTGCATCTTTTGACGCCTTTTTTTGCCGCAATTCTTCTTGAACACGTTCATCATCCCCTGAGCGGACGTCGAGTGGAATCACAATGTATGTGGTGTTCAAAAAAATGTTCAGAAAACGCGGTGTATAATGTTAAAGTCTGAAAACGTGTTTGACTTTATGACTTGTTTGTTTTGTTTACTTTGGTCGAGGCGCACTGTTTCTGCAACATCTTATCCAACTTTTTCCGTAGAGTCACAACATCAGTGAGTTTGGAACGTAGGTTGGTCTCATACTTGGAGAGAAGATCAGCAGATGGCGAAGAGCTCGCAAAGAACTGAGAACGGAGCAACTTGGAAGATGGACTCAATGGCTCATCTGGATCATCTTTCTTGTAGGTGAAGGATGAACGCACAGAGTCTGGCGCCATTGCAACCAATGTTTCCAGCCATGAGTCACAGGTGTCTGCAAAAGCACGCATGTCTTCGTAGCACTCGCTTGACTTCACACAGCTGACAACAAGAGCAATTTCATCGGTAATGGTTTTCTCCTGGCAACTAGGACAGAAGGATCTACACGTGTGCCAAAAAAAAAAATCCCATTCTCACCTGGAAAGGAAAAACACACATTGACAAAAGAAAAAAAACATGATCGTACAGGCTGGTCACCCATTTCACCAATGCCCTCAAGGTTTTGCGTTCAATCTCCATTTGTTGTAGCTTCAGCTTTGCTCCGGAAGATAAGCCAGTACCTCCACGATTGCTTCCAAGGGCTGAACCAGCACCAGCACGATGAGATTGATCGGTCCTGGGCCATGTTCACAACAGAGACTAAAACAGAAATGGTCCTCAAGTTAGATTGGTTTGTGTGTGTTATTGTTTTACTATGTGCAGACATGAGGAATGCTTTGACAATCACCAAAAGAATCCTGTCGCTCCGAGAGTGATTCGTAAAGGTCTCTTTTTTCTACCGAACCACCCGAAGAAAAAAACATCTTTGTAACCAGGCCACCCGTTTGCAAGCTGTTGTTGGTTCTCCTTGTCATCATTGCCACTGCACCTGGTCACTCTTCCACACGGAGTGGAGCTGGAAGGTCCCATGATTCTACCAGCCTGTGTTGCTCGCATTGTGCATTGTATAACTGTACAATAATGCACATAGAACCAAAAGAAACAAATCACAACAAATTTATAACATAACACTATTGTAAAAGGTAAACAAAAAGGATCTATCAATGAAGCTGAAAAGCTTTCCCTTTGGTCTTCATGGTGTGGGGACCAATACCGGGTAAATCGGACATAAAATTGATGTTGCCGAAGTCAAAGATGCCGGAGTCAATTGCAAGATCATCGCCCATAACCAGTCCTTCATATTCAAGAGAAAACAACAAAAAATGCCAACACAGAAAGAAGTACAATTTGTGAAGCGCATACAACAAATTGTCTTTTGGATTTATTGAACCTTTAACCGTTGAAGGCAATGATAAAACAACATACATCAACATACGAAACATCTAAAGCAATGGACAGTATCGTTTTTTCACCTTGTGAAGATCAGATTCATCACATTTCTGCACTTCGCTCTGAGTCATGCTCCGATTGTGAGACAATTCGCGACCACCTCTGATACTCAATTTCTTGAGCTTTGCCAAAGTCTTGAAACCACGTTCATCAGAACCTTTGTTCCGGATGGTTTATTTCCAGGAAAAAAACAAACCAGTTGAGTTGGGAGAAAGAAACATAGAAACACATCTTGTTTTGCGTGGTAAACGGTAAATGTGAACAATTTCCTAATGCAGGCCAACTACCTTTCGGAACTGTTGTATCATTGAGACACTCCAACCAGAAGTCTTCAATCTCCGCCTTATTCATGTTCCATCGCTTCCTGCATTCGGCAGCAAACCTGAGTTGCTTGCAGTTTTGAAACACCTGGCTTAAAAGGGAAAAACATTGTCCGGAAAAAAAACACGGCAACGAAGTAACTTGACAAGCTAAGTCAGTCGCTCGATTTCATTGGTGTGATAGGTCTCGCCTTCCATTGATAACCGATCTTTCACTTCAACCTGTCTGCAGGGAAACAAATCGTGTTTGATAAATGTTAATTGTATAATGTATATATAATGTGTTCGCTTCATTTAGTTTGCAGCAAAACACGTTTAGTACGTTTTGTTTGGTGTTGTGTCAAAATTCATGTTTTTTGTGCCATGCCTTGCCTCCTCCGTTATGCGGATGGTACGTTCTTTCCCACGGATACCACCACCATGTTTGTTCTCCTTGATCAACTTCTTCTTCTTCTTCGCTGCAGGCATTTTGTCCCATTCATCTTTCTTGCCTCGTTTGCGATAGTGCTCTGCCAAACTACGGCACGCGTTGTAGCAAAGCTTGCAAACTCGACACCCTGGCCGCCCAGCTGAAAGGGTCTTGGACACTGGGACTTGCTCATCACATTTCATACAAACGACCTGATCCCCATGATCGGGATCATCATCCTCCTCTGGAGGCACATTGGGGGGCTGAAGTTCCACAGGACTTCCTTGCTCTGGTGCTCCCGCTGCACTCATGCCGGTCACACAGAGTAGAGACACTGGAACGGTCACTGTAGCTAGTAGGCCAAATGGCTATCGATGCACACAAGTAACACGATTGACACACTTCTATGTGTTGACTTCCTTTCCAAGATCGTCGCTGACCACTGTGCTATGCAGAAGACAATCCTGCACACACAAGTTCGACATCCGTTTTTTTCTCCCGGTTGACGTGTCGGTTTGTCTGTGCTGTGTGTTTGGCTGCCAATGTAGTTCGATTGGCAACGAACACAAATCGGCCAGTGGGTGATGTTTTTTTGCAATTCCCTCCATCACAACAACCATCTTGATGATTGTAGACTAGCATGAACTAACATACAAGAACGAAACAGGTGTATATGATTGCATGTATATATATATATATATACATGTATGTATGTATGTATGTATGTATGTATGTATGTATGTATGTATGTATGTATGTATGTATGTACGTGTATGTGTATATATATATATGTGTGTATGTATGTATGTATGTATGTATGTATGTATGTATGTATGTATGTATGTATGTATGTATGTATGTATGTATGTATGTGTATGTGTATATATATATATAGTATATAGATTTTTCTCTACAGAACAGTTTACAATGTGTACAACAGAAACCGTTCATTTTCGCAATGTGGCAATCACCCTTGTGTGTGTGTTGGAATGTTACTCAAAGCCATTCCAATCCACGCTCTCACCCCAAATGTCGGTGACGTAGACAAGTGATCAACCTTGTTGAACTTTGTCAGCTCTGTCGAAGTTTGCAGTCTCCTGAGTTTGATTGTCAAAATGATGCATAAACTCAACAAGTAACTTTTGGTTGGCCACAGTAGTGCCAATAGTGTTGTTATTTGTCCTTTGTCCACGTGTCACTAAGATAGCTCTTTGAAAAACCACCCGCCTTCAGTTCGCATGCAAAGATTGCTGCCAACAGGGCCGATGCAACCTGAGTTTTTTGGTCATAGTTCGAGCCAACCAACAGCAAGTTGGAATTGACAACAAACACTCGAAATCAAAACGTAAAATAAAAAAGAACACAACAAACACACACACACACAACACATCATTGAAAGCCGAGCAGCGGAAGCAACGTGCATAGAGTTGCCGGCGAGGGTTGCAAGTCCTCGATTGCTGAGACCCACAACCTTGAATCGAGATGTTCTCATAGCAGATGCCGCCCATGATGCTGTGGGCAACCCATGTGCCAAAAGTAGCTCTGCCCCACCTAAGTTTCATTCTTCTTTTCTTTCTGAAGAAAATGGTTCGTTGTTGTTGTTCATATCACCTCGAAACTCTAAAGTCTTCAATACCGCATATATATGTTCATCTTGATTCTTGGCTCATGCAATCAAGATGCAAAGAAATCTTTCCTTTTCTTCAGACCATATGTAGCCACATGTTTTCGTCAATGTCGGTAGAACATTGATTCCATAACGTGCTCGATGCCCAGGCCGTTGTGAAAGATCATAAAATTTTCCATCTGGAAACAATTTGCGAAAATCGATCAGTCCTTGGAAAGTCAAAGGATAACATGTTTCTTTCTGAAATATTAAATGAAAGTAACGCTGCAAAATAAACTATAGTTGGCATGTTGCAACTGAGAAGAGCACGTGTTGACATTGAATCGGACAACGCGCTCAGTGAACGGATTGCTGGTAGATCAGCCACCATGTATGCAAGTGCCCCTCCATCAATCTTGAAGGCTTCCATCAACCCTTTTAGAGACGACGTCACGATATCATCCAAGGAAACGCCAATCCTTTTTTGTTGAATTTAGTATTCAAAAAAAACAAACAATGCGATCAAACTAAAAAAAAAAACAATAGAACTGTACGACTGTACATGATATGGTGTCAAGTCCCTGAGTCGTTAAGTCAGTAGGTTTAAACGAAAATGTAAAACAATGAGATGCACACCAGTAAAAGACAAACAATGTATTGCCCGCAACCATAAGTCATTAAACCTGTATGTTCGCACATGAAACTCACACTTGTATATGACATTAATTAGTTTATCCGATTCCTGATGAATGCACAGCATCAAAGAGTTTAACACACAACTAACTCACATACAAAACAAAGAAAATTCAACATGAAGCAAGGGAACTTGAAATTGTCGCTCAGCCGTGCTATGCAGTACTTTCGACGACGTTCTACTGGAAAGTTCATGGCTTCAGATGCAATGATGCTTTCATCAAGCCTGTAGATAGGACTCAATACATCCTCCAGCAATGAAATCATGAAGCCAACCACATTTTCGTGAAGGAATATCATTGGGCGATACTCCAAGACCATCCTGAGCAACAACAGCAAAAATATGGCTGTAGGACCAGCTGCCATTTGTTGACTCCCAAACGTAGAATAGTCCACACAAGCACTGCCAGCAACCAGGACTGACAATGCAATGCTACCATCCGGCACGGACTTCTCATCAATTTTGTAAGTTCTGTTGCACAAGCCAGCGTGCTTCATACACCTCACGGATGTGTTTTTTCTTCATGTTTTGCTGTAATGTTTCTATTTAGTGATTTACTATATATATATGTGTGTGTATGTATATATGTGTGTGTATTATATTGTTTTATAGTTTACCCATGCCTATCACATCTACATACTTCAAATTGAAAAAGAAACAGTCCTGCCTGCACTCGGTCTTGATAGGGCATGTGCGGTCCAGAATGGTTCTTTTCAGCTCCGTAAATGTCTGCCTCATCAGGTAAAAGCGAAAATCTAAGTATGTTGACCCTGAACCCTCAATGCCATACATATATTCCGGTTTTGAAACCCCCAAACCCCTGAATGCCATACACAATGCCATACCATGAGAATGCCATACCGTAGAATGCCATACGTATGGCATTCTGTTCAAGTCCGTATGGCATATGGTATGGCATTCTCACGGTATGGCATTGTGTATGGCATTCAAGCTCCACTATATTTAGAAAAAAAGTAAAAACATGTATGTATGGCAATGTATGGCATTCGTATGGCAATCTGTATGGCATTTGTATGCATGTGTAGCATTTGTTCAACTTCTTGAAAAAACCGAATGTTCCGGCCTCCTGAGAAAGATAAAGGTGTGAGCTGCCAAATTGTTGTCCTGATTCAGTAGGTCCTTGGCTGATGATAATTTTGCAGAGTAAAAAAAGGAAACGTGAACATCCATGAACACATGAAAAACACATCACCAAAAAAAAATATTAAACACACCTCAGAAAATCAACCAGCTTGGTTCTGGCCTTTGTGAAAGACAACCATGATGGCTCATTGGAAGGTGAATCATCATCAGCGGCTCGAATCAGCTGGTAATCCTTGAGCGCGTTTCCCAAGAACTTCACTTTCAAAAAGCCTTTGTTTGTCTCGCCCTTGCATTTCTTGAAGAGCGAATCAATGTTGTGAACTGCTGGTTTTGCGCGTTCATCATCTGACACCAAATCACCTTTCATAAACTCAGAGGAGCCAAGGGCTCTGAGAATGTCCTGCTTGGAAATGTGTACCTAGGTTTTTGTTGCATCAAAGTACTTAATGTCCCAAAGGGCCAGGAAAATCATACAATATATATATATATATAGATGAAGAGAAAAGAAAAATACCACACATCACATATGGAAATAAAACCAAGCGACCTCCACTGCCACTCTTCGTTCGGCCCGGGCTTTCATTTCTTCTGACATGATATCTGCAATATCACTAAACAAGTGCGTATCCTTGTCACTGTTGTTGATACAACATGTCTGAGCTGTGGGGCTCCAATCACATTGGCTCATGACTTGCATGGAAAGATGTTCTGGCACCTGAGATGCTAGAGCTTTCAATGCGAACTCTGGTGTGCCAGCCCCAGAAAACTCCGTCCAAAGTTGCACATGGACTGGTTTCTTCTGAGCATCACAGCAATCAGTGAAAAAAACTTTGGCCATTTGTTCTGGCCAGTGAAACAATTGCTTCAACGGTGTTTCTGTCATTGTGATGTCTTCGGGTTTGACATCGTCTTCGGTTTCTTTCTTTTCTTTGCGTTGCTTTTTTGGAATGCGGACAGATGCAACTCTGGCAGTTGTTTTTTTCGTCGCACTGGGTGCCCTGGATCTCTTGCCTTTCTTGGTGGTTTTCGCATCTTTCTTCTGTTTCCTCTTCGACGTTGTCCTCAGCACACCCAAACGTGTAGTTTTTTTTTTCTGCTGGTTGTCGGATTTCCCGGCAGAGGAACGGACAAATGTCTTCCGTGTTGAAGGCGCCTTCCGCGTTGAAGGTGGCGCGCCACTGATGATGAGGCAGTAGCTGATGTTGCGCAAGCTTCTGGCACCTGGCAAATGGCAAATTGGTGGTAGTCACTGAAATCCATGGTCGTTTCCTGTGCGCTCTTGAAGTTCCCTGCGAAGAGTGATGATGTAGGTGGCATTTTTGGAGATGTAGCATCAAACGGCACCATTTGTGTTTCCATCAAATCAAACCCATCTGGCGATGAGTCTTGGAAGCTAAAAATGGCTGGCAAAAAGAAACCTAACTGAATCTCTAGGCACTTGAACACAACTCAGTCTCAACCCGGAACATATATGTTCAAAGAAGAAAACTATCAGCAGCAAATTAGCACATGGCTAAGAAAAAACAAAGGGGCAGTTCACAATTTTTATTCGATGTGCGCGTGCAGATCTGTGAGGTCGCATGTGCAAAAAAGGGACAGCTGTGCGTTTTACGCATCAACTGCGTCATTCATCTCGGACTGAAGCCGAAACGGATGGATAGTAAAGATTGATGATTGCACTTTCAAAGTTCCGCTTCGATTTGTACACTTTGTTGTTCCCCCAAGCGTTTTCAACGCCTGCATCTTGTGCAAGTCGTATTGCTGCCTGAACATTTGCTCTTTCCGTGTTCCCAGGGGATTCTGCCAATCTCAGCTGTTGTTTCAAATACGGAAGTGTTGGTAGGATAGCTTGACGATGTCTTTCGCCATGCTTTCCCCATATACCTCTTGTTCCACCCCGCTCATTGCGTTCCAACTCCTGTAAAGCAGCTTCATCAGCACTGTTAAATGTGGAAATTGATACATCAGAAGTATTTTCTGATATATTGTCCTGTGCATGTTCAGTCTGGTCTTGGTTGGAAGCATTACTTGGTGCAGAAACTTCTGCAGCTTCTGCATGTACTGGACCTTGTAGAAGTTCTGGGCTAATGCGCAAAGAAAGGTTTGCCTGGGATATGATGAGAACCAACTAGGTATTTGAAACAAAAAGCTTATGGGTTTTGTCAAATATCACAAAACCAAAACAAACATACTTACTCACGGCTGTAGTTTTCCTATTGGTTTGCCATTGCCAAACGAGCTAAAAACATGCCACGTCCCGGAGTCCCATGCCAAGAAACTTCCGACTCCAGGGATTGCATGGTATCTCCACGAAAGAAACGATGCTGACTCTGGGGTTGCGAATGTGTGACAGCTGAACTTGAGCCTGCTTCATCGCCACTTGAAACAATCTCGAAAACATTGGGGTCGGAGTCGGGGTTGGCCTTTTTCGGTTCACGGCATCGGTCACCCTCCAAACCAAGCCTGTGTTTTTTTAGCTTGGGTTGATTTTCATCTTCACGTGCCGATGAAGTCGGCGCTGATCGTGTCTTTGGCTTGGCAGGACGACAAAATCGTTCTTGGAGATCTTTTCTGGGATCATGTTTGGATTCACCTGATTGATTTTAGCACATCGCCAGCAGAAAAGTTTGAGTCAAACAAATATTCAACAATCAACCGTAGTATATTGGCCCGTAAGCCCGCAAGCCCCTAAGTCCGAGAGTCTGTAGGTCCGTAAGCCATACAAGTCCGCAAGTCAGCAATTCCCTTGAAAGGGGTCCATGGAAGCCTTATAAGGGTCACATATGCTTTTAATTTCGAAGCACGGCGCCCTCGTGCTTTGAAATTAATTTCTTCGCGTTCAATCACGTCGCAGTTTCAAAATTAGGGTTGGTCAAGACTCAAACTGTCAAACCTGCATAGCACCTGCATAGCACACGCGTAATGGAGGACGCATGGAGACGCAGCGCAAAGAGGAGATTCGCGTTGTGACATCATGTGTGCAAAGCTACGCGTAAGTCTGGTCAGAAAGCCCGTAAGTCAATAAGTCCAAACATCTACCAAATCTGCCAAAATTGTTATTTCAAATTCAAATACCAAAACAAAACAAAGCACTTTTTCATTCAGGGTACCTGTCAAAAACTGACGCAAGGTTTCGTAGAAGTCAGCGCGTTGATTCAAGGGCACAAATGTAATAACCTTGGTTGCTTCAGCGTCGTGTTGAATCGTTGTTTACAGGATGCCTCAAAATCAAACCAAACCTTCAAACGGTTGTTGTTGTTACTACCAAGGAACAAACGGGGTGACAGAGCATACTGCACGAACAGCACTGTAGTAGCCATGTTTCTGCGAATGAGAAAAACTGTTTTCTCCGGTCAGTGCCAAAACCTGATCATATCTTTCATCTAGGAGGCTGTAGTAACCTGCACACTGGAATTGCATCATGCGACGACCTTCCACACTGCAGTCATACGCAGACTCAACTGTGGTCCACCCAACACTGACCAGATTTGCACGTCCTTCATAAGCAGTATATGGTTTCTTCTTGACAGGAATCGGAGCTGACAACGATGTGATACTCATTGTAGTCGTCGATGCTAGACATACATGTCCTTGTGCTGAATGCTTAAAAACCAAGCCGAATCTTTCCATTACTTCCACTTCTGTTGTGTGTGCTTGACGGACATTTCGTGGGACAACACAATCCCGTTGCACTGATGCACGGCCAATGGCAGAAATGGTTGTCCTTGGGTGGCAATGGATCATGATTTCATTTCTGAAACAACGGAAACAATCACGTAATCATCCCACAAATCCAAAAACCCACGGAAGAAAATGACCTGATGCTAGAAAGAATCGCCTGCACTTCGGTCAAATCAGGGTCAATGTCCATCAGCCGCTCCACCACGCTGTCATCCCAAGCTTGCCTTTGTTTTACCTAAGTAAGTCTCTCAGAGAATTTGCAGTCATGAGTCATGATGGCAGGTCTGAGACATGGTTCCTCTCTGTGAAATATGTTCCCTTGCAAGCCAAGGCACTTCAGAGAATTCAGCAAGTGTGTTTATCGTCCCAGGCTTGAACAGTTCATCAATACGAAGGGGAACAATGTTCTCAGATTTCAACCTCGAGCAAACTTAAGGGCCAGGACACCCTATGTGACAAAGCTTAAAAATCTTCTGGAATTTTTAAAACATAGGACATGCCCCTCAGGCAAAGCCTAACCGAGACACTGGAACTCTATCGGCGAATCTCGACTAGCAGTGGCCCCGCACATGTTCACAGCAATGCATCCATCCCATGCCTCGTGTGGTCGTGTGAACGAAGCATGAACAATGACACGTCAGCTTAGTGGAAACATATCAATAACTAACAAAACAAATTTCATTCTGCGGTAAAATTTTTCCTATTCGTTTGGCACCCCAAAATCTGACCCCCACAACCAACTAAACATGTAGCAAACCTGTATAGGAAAAAGGTTACTGAGGGTAGAGTTGTGGGGGTCAGATTTTGGGGTGCCAAACTAGTAATTTTCCGTTTGGTTTGGGACTTTGGGGGGGCGCCTTTTTGACCTATTTTTGGAGCCCCTTTTTGGGCTAAAAAGTCGCCCCCTTTTTAACCCCCAAAGCAGTACCAAACCAACGGGAAAATTACCATGCCAAACCAGCAGGCCAAGAAACATCCTTCCCCAAGAAACAAACTCTTTGGACATACGATCTACGTTCTGGATGTTTGCAAATTACTTGGAAAGCCACAAATGAATCTGGTGCTTCTTCACCTTGCACACTCTTGCACACCTGGTAGTACTTGCCTGTAGAAAGTCGCGTGGACACATGATCAGCTAGCATTTGTTTTTCCTTGTCGCTGAGAGGTTCATTCTCAGAGTTCTGTCCTGGTACTAGGTAGCTTCGTTGAAACTTGGATTTCGCAATTGACAGTTGTTGGGTCATGTCCTCTGCATCACCATGCAACGATTGCAGGCTGTACCCGTAGACATGTTGGATGAGCTCCTCGTGTTATGTGTACATCCACCGGCAGAGCGAACAGAATGTTGAGAGGTATATTTTAGGGCACACAACAAAAAACAAATACCGCACAAGAATCTGTTCTGCTGTCCCACTTGATGGCGACAAGTTTGGACAAATCTGCCAGAAGCCTATCCAAATTGTCCCTGAGACCCGGTGTTGCAAGATCTTTGTTGGTCCTTCTCCGTAAAAATGCGCAAGTTGACGCGGGCAATGATGCTCTTCCAATTGAAACCTTCTGGTGCAAGAAATGATGTTGTGCCTCCAGTTGTTGCATCACGGTCAGAGCGCTGCAATATTTCATCAATGCTTGTGCAAGAGGATGTGGCATGACTAATTCAACGGGAGAAGAACTAGCCCACCAAATCACATAGGCCACGAGGCTTTGAGGGAACAACCTGTCCAAAAAGTGTCTTGCCATGTGAAAGGACACATGACCATTCCCGCTGGAAACTTGACCTGGATTTGTTTGCATGTGGTTCCACAAGTCAATCACATCAAGCGCAAAGGCTTTGGATGACTGTACATATTGTCTTTGTAGTTCCATGTCATCTATGTCATTGAAAAGGCAAATGCCAAGTGCACAGAGTCTCCATGGAAGCTCTCTCCAAAAAGAAAATACTTGCACGAAACGTTGAGCCATTGCCATTTTGCAAGCATTGTAAGAATTGAGTAAGCAATTCCTCTGCGATTCACCAAGCTTTTGCAGAAAAGGGTGAGCTGTTCCTTGTGGAAGGTTGAGAAGCTTGTTCGAAAAATTGTCAAGCCATATTCCCTGCGCTAGTTTCGATGCCATCCTCCCCTTCCAGGGGCATTTTTTACAACAACCGTCCGAGTGAGACACAAGCGGGCATCCGTGAAAAAAAATTGAAACAGAAGCCCCCCAATCCGCAAGCTGCGAACATATGTGGGCAGTTGCCCAAAAAGTTGTCCCCTGCTCCCCCTCAGTGATGACGGACTTGATCATGTCCACCTCTTTCTGTGTAAATTCGGCCATGGAAGAAGAATTAAGATCTGCACTCAAGAACATCAGTGCTTGGCGCCGGGGCAATAGCCAGTTCAAAACATCGCACCTCAAAAACCAGCCAATCCGTGACACTGCGACGCAAACATCACATCACAACAAGGCAACATGTGAGACTTGGCTGACAAGTGAGAAAACCAATATTCAAGTGCCAAAGAGCAAATATCCCCATCTGGTTGTGACCAGCGTAGGGCATGTAACTTTGAAAAGGGCTGCAAAACTTTTCTTCAACTTTGGCTCCTGTAAACAAACTGCACCTGGGCGTGCGGTACTACTTGCAAAGTATGACAAAAGCTTGTAATGGTGCCAAGGAATATAACAGTCAGTCCTGGATGCTCTGATTCTTCATGATGCACTCGGCAATGAAACGGTCGCATCGTGCTCTGATAGAAAACCATCTTGAAATGCAGTTGAGGGTGGTCTCGAAATCATCCCACATGAAGAATTCTTGGATGGTGTTCATTACCTGTGTGAAGTTCACGCATATGTTTGTAGAACAATGCCTTTGACTTTGACCTTGACCTTGAACGAAAAAAAGGACTAATAAGGCTTTGACAGGTTGCATGGTGGAGGGAATGGTCTGCATCTGGCAGTGGCATGTTGAATCGAAACAAGAGGTTTGCATCCAAATTAGCAGGGTCAAGGTCATCTACGCCTTGCTCGACATCTCCAGATTCATGCCCTGCAAAACCAGGTGTGAACCATGCATCCTTCTCCACACCAAAGTCAGTGAGAATTGAGCACACCCTTTCCGCCGTGAAATGTATCTTAGCAATATTCGAGCGAACAAAAATAACTCACAGCACAACACACATACACACATGGATGGTCAAAATGTGGCAGAAATCTCTAGTTTGCAGCGAAATCTCTAGTTTGCAGCTGTGGCACACGCTCGCTTTCCAAAGTCAACGTGTGTACCAATTTCTCAAGCTTCTGTCCCGCACTTGCTGCCCTGGAACCTATGCATTGTATCGGTAGCAATCTTTTTTGGATCCTGGTATCCTTGTGGGTAGTGCCATACCAAACGATGTCTGCCTGTGTGACCAGAAAATCACGTCCAAATTGCGGTGATGCGTCACATCTGAGATGTAACACCCATGGTGTTACTCTGTCTGATGACTTTGAAAAGATTGTTTCCCGTGCATACAGCATTGTGACTAAGTCTAAAGTTATCCTCATGTCGTAAAGAAGGGACGGTGACGGGAGGCGCATAGCTTCGAAACTGACGTGGAGGTGATTGAGAAGCTTGCTCGAGAGTGCCATCTGTAAGCTCCTACCAGCAATGCAATGGTAAGGTCTTCAAATTCCACAGTCCAAAGTCCAGAGCCCAAAGTCCAAAACTTAAAAACAGAAACTGTTGCATGTTCGCACCTTGAAACTGTATCCTTCAAATACATGGGCTGGATCAAGTTGTCTGTCAAGAGCACTGCATCCAAGAGGAAAGTTGGCTGGTACGCAACACCCCCGACAAGTTTGGTGTTAGGGTTGTCGCGATTGTCGGAGCGCTTCTGTCGCTGCATAGTTCCAGTCCTAACCTTGGGTCACTTGGGTCACGCAGTCACATGCACTGCACGGGTATACCACACATCAAAACCTATAGTAAATTCAATGGCCCCCAGCCAGAGAGTCACAGCGATGGCGATGGAACCTTCAGCGATGGAATTCATCATAATAACAGCTGAGTCTGTGAAAAGATCTTGAGTCTGTGAACCTGAAGCTGACTCACTGAGTACAGCACAGCAGGCGACAACCAAAGTTGTTCTGACTTTGACCTGAGACATTGATAGACAAAGGGTTTGTCAGTGGATTGTTGGCAAGTTACAGGCTCGCTGGCAACTTTGAAATTTGAAATTTGCAAATTTGCAACATTGAAATCACATGCTGCTGAGTTTTACTGTTTTGCGTTTCGCATCCACACAAAGCCGCGACTGTGGGACATGGTGCAACAATTTGCACTGCATCAAGCCCGCAACCTGCCATTGCCAATTACCATCTGTCCAAACCAAACTTTCACTTTCACTTGTTTTGTCTTGGTGGATAGTCTCAAGCCTCAAGTGATGCTTATTAATTCAAGCTCATTCAAATGTAATGTCATTGGCCATTGGCACCGCCCAGGCAGATTCAAAAACCAAACGCAACTCAGAAGACTCAGAAGTACTCAGGAGACTCCGCGGGGTGACCACTGCTCCTCAATCATCCTTTTCACGTGCTGCAGTCTTACCCTTCTCCTGATCTTCATCCTTCTCGTCCTTCTCGTTCTGTTCTTCATCATCAGTTAGCGGTTCCACACCTCGACGACGTATGATCTCTCGAATGTGTGCTCTGGCTCCTGCTTCTGTGCCTTCCTTGGTGGCAAAGTCTACTGCCCTCTGATACAAGGCCCAAAGCTTGTCACGTAGCTGGTTTTCTCCTGGGCACCGCGCAGTGTGCAGTACTGTAAAATATTTTAAAACTGCAAAACAAACAAATACCATGCCACGGCAACAAAAAGAAAATCCAGAAAATTGAACAAAACAAAACCGACAAATTAGATTGAAGCAACTGATCGAATGTTGCCGCTCTGATTGGCACACTAAGTCTTGCAACTTGCACAGGTCTGATCTCATCTGATCATGTCCTGCAGGGGCATCAACATGTAACACATGTCCCTTGGATGAGGGTTTCAAAATCAATGGGGGTTCCTACTTAAAACCCTATTTTCGTGACCCTGGGACTTAAACCAAAAAAAAACATGGTCACCAAAAAGTGTTTGGAACCCTCATTGATTTTGAAACTTGAAACCCCTTTTGCACTCGGGTTGCGAGAGAAAACCCCTTTCAAGGGAAATTTGTATCTACGTAGACTAGTGACCAGTGACTAGTGTGACTAGACTAGCGTGGCTAGCGACTAGTGATGAGAGACCGTCTAGACTCTAGACTCTAGGACTCCAGACTCTAGATGATTGTTTTAGACTATTCTAGGTTCCAGAGTTCCAGACTCTAGACTCTGCATGCAGACTTTGTGTGTGAATGTTTATCTATGTTTTTACAATGCAGCACCATTGTGAAATACGTTGAATTGTGAACAGTGGGGCCAACATGGGCCAACATCATTCTACTTCCGACCCGTTCCAAGTTCCAACCAACCTCACCTGCTTTCAATTTTCAAGTTCAAACTTCGAAACAAACAAAAAAATACAGCACCGGCGGCACCAACCAGTCCATTCATCCGAAAGCTTCTGTGTTCCTCAACTTCTCGGATTAACGACATGATTGTATGTACTTCAGCCAGTGCTGGTGTGAATGGACGCTGTGGCCTGGAACCAGCTGCCTTTGAAAGCGGGTCTGGAGGGGTTCGAGGACGGGACCGGGACCGAGCGCGATCAGACTCAGGAGATGCCATGCCCAATGCCAATGCCCAACGTCAATGGCCAAAAGGATCAAAAAAACGAATATGGCCGTCGGCCCAATCTGAAATTTGAACAAACACAGCTGCACTGCGTCACTGTCGTGGACTCATGATACAAATTGAAATTTGATTGGAGAGCAATCAGTAATCATGATGAGGATTGATTGATCATTGGCTCTTGAAGTCTGAAGTGATTGAATTGAAGTTGATGTCACTGAAGACTGAAGACTGATGACAGTGTAGAGAAAACATACTGGGGTACCAGGCCAAAAATTCTGACAGAGTCACAAAGCCCGATAGAGCGTGGCAAATGCCCAATTGCCGGCCTCAAAACAAAATCGATAATCGAACCCAATAATAACAAAAAAAACATCTGAAATTTGACCATATGACATATGTAGCGAAAAACAGTCTTGAAGTGGAAGCCGGAGACTGGAGATGAACAAGTAGAAATTTGAATGCGAATATACTCATTCACAACGAATATCCTTTGAAGCCTTTGATAGTAAAGTAAAGTGGACAGAAACACTGATTGAAATTGAAGCAACAGCTACACATGGCGTTGGGCTATTCATGCTGCTGTGACATTCTGACTTTTCTGACAGTGTGAAGGGCTTGGACTGGGCGCCGAGCTGAGCTCGTTGGTTTGTCTCGAACTTGAACTTCTCAAGGAACCGCTCCATGCAATCCGTCTGAATACGTTTGAATCCGTCTGAACCAACATCCCATCACTGTCAACTGCCGTCACCCCGTCATCCTGTCACCCTACCAAAAACAAAAAGTTTATTGTTAGCCATTGTTGGCCAAAGAAACCGACAACGACGATTTGACTTCATCCAGCAATTCTTGAGCTCTGCTAGTGTCCCCATTCATCATGGCTGTTTCGATTTCCTTGAACAAAATGTTCATTGATGAATCAACGTCACGTTGTTGGGCAGCGCCAGGTCCAGGCAAGGCCGACAGTGCGTCAGGCAATTCAGGCAACATGATATCGGTACCCGCATCCATCTTTGACGGATGGTGATTGATAATGATGGGTGGCACATAGTTCTTGTTCTTGCAACGAAAGAAACCAATTGTTTATATATCCCCGCATATGAGATTCAATATATATATATATGCATCTATGTTAAATGCAAATTGTACCAGTGTCAGTCTCAGTTTCGACTGTCAACTTTTCAACTATTACAATTTGAAAAATGGTGGGTTGGAAGTTGAACATGACCTGTGAATGAGCCCTGATCCTCGAGCCTGAGAGATTCAAGTCAGGCCAGAAGCAGTCTAGCCTCATTGATACCCAATTCGGAAATTGCATCAATAATCAAGTTGGCGCTTTGCATTTGTTTTGAAGCCTCCAGCCGCCCTGCGTATCAATGCATGTTGCCTACATGTGATCCTGTCCGTACTTTCTTTAGATCTGCTTTAAAAAAACGTATACCTCATACGTTTGATGAGGTACATTCCAAACAAGACTCGAGAGAAAGCTGTCACCTCTGTCCACGTCAATCAAGAAAAAGGCGTGGCATTCATAGTGGTTGACAGATCCACGTTCTTGCCCTTCACAAAGAGCTAGAAGAAGCTTCCAAAACATGCCAGAGTCATCATCTATGGGTTCACCAGCACCATAAGGACAAACTGGTATGTCGGCAAGTTTCTGGATGTCCCCGCTCACTTCCCACGAGAGCATTTTGGTAAAATTTTCCGCCATCAATACAATCACAAAGGAGGCAAACCAAATGGGTTCAGAAGATTACTTGGGCCCAAAATAAATCACGGCTTTGTCGCTCAACTTTGACGCCAACACGTCTCTACTTTTCTTTTCCTAAACATTCTGCCCAACGCATACTTTAAAATGAGCTCACTGGATTTAGTATCTCAGAGCTAGAATCTCTCGTTCGTAGTCCTTTGCAAACAGGATCTGCGTGTTTGAAAGGGGAAACTGTGAGACTAGTGTGAAAAACAATTTGAACAACTGCTAGGCTCCTTGATCTTTCGCTCAAGTTCCTCTTTGCTTTCTGCTTCACGTTTCACTTGAAGCATCTCTGCATTGGAGCCAGCTAGCTCTGAACAAGACCATTGGCGAGATTCAAGCTTTGTAGGTGCCATTTCTAGCCCCTAAATCACCTAAACCCCAGCCTTTTGCAGGCCGATGCCTGGTTGAGCCACGATCTTCGGCCCAGATTTGGCAGGATAGTCGGTGGCCAGGGGAAAAAAACACATTCCAAGGAATTTTGATGGATTTTCCTTGATTTTTCATGTTTTTTTTTGACAAAACCATCAAAAATTGGCATGGTCAAAAACCAGGAAAAATACGTATTTTGTACGTGTTTTTGTACGGCTACCCACGCCCCTTGTATGGAAATCCACGCCCCTTGTACGCGTACGGGTTTTTGCACGTGCAAAACACGTGTTTTGCACGTAGTTTGCACGTATTTTCATGTACGGGTGAAATGGTGCAATATTGGCCAAAAAACATGATAAACATCCTTAAAATTGGAGAAAACATTGAATATTCTTGTATAAAATTAAGATATCCCTCCAATTCCCCACAAAATCTTCCAGGGCACTCATGATATGCAATGTTTCCCACGTCACTCCATACATGACTGCAAAAAACCGATTGCAAGTGCTAGACACCATCCTTTTCAGCTGAGCTGGCATATCAAAGCATTGGAAATTTCATACGCAAACGAATTGTTTCTTCATTTAGGCTTTCAAAACACATCTAAAGCTGTGTCCCAGCCAAAGCATTGAAATTAAAATGCACAACTAGCATTCACCTTCTTTGGGCTGGCATTCCCAACCGAACTGAAAAATTGGGACGCCCAAACATGAAGGATCAAATTTTAAAGTTCAGATGGGAAAAGATCCCTCCAAGATCCTAGGTTGAGGTGTTTGTTGGCTCGTAGCCATGCTAGACAGGAGACCATGTCTGCATCATTCCAAAGGTCGCCCCATTCTAAGATGGAGAAAAGGGTTTGTCCATCAATTGCGTCATAGAACTCACCAGTCGCTTCCCGGAGGACCCTCGTGCTGACAAGTCTGGAATGGATCTTGAAGATCTTCTTCCCAAAGGCCGGAGGGTAGTTCCTGGGCACGGGCGCTGAACACACACACATATATATGGCTTTGAATTTCTATATACATATCCATGTGCATGTAACTAGCCCAGGCCGAAAACAAATTGGCAAGTATGCCAGAATGTTGAAACACACCAAGGCCCTGACTCAGAACCCTTGAGATGTTTTGTGCCCACGTATTTCTTCCGGCCACCAGATATGTAGGTCTTGCTGGACTTGACACCAAGAGTAGCAAGTTTGCGTTGGTACTCTCGACAAAGTACACCCATATCAAGTAATCTAATCTCTCGGCTATTGCTCCAGGCGTGATGTCGCTTGGGAAATTTGCTGTTGTAGTGAGCCATCCACCATCCCGCAGACCACACCTTTTGGGAGAAACATGGAGAAACAAAGGTCAAACCTGAACCACTTGACTGACCCCAAAGTAATTGTTCAATTTACCCTTCGTGCAAGTATTTCAAATTCTTCCAGGATCCAAATTACAATTTATGATTTTAACCGATCTATCATACTGCTTAGAACTGTGTGGTTGCTAGTCTAGTTTAATTTGGTTCCTCCCCAACCTCTTTCAAGTGGTGGAATAGTTCCCTCACCCGTGGCAACCAAGACCAAGTTGACGAACTCGGCTGCTCCAGCACAAAGCATCCACCCATGGCCAGACAGGCGTGTATCAGCAGGCAGCACCTAGACCAGTGGAGTGACCCAATGGGCTGGCCAGGGCTGACAGAGAACATGGTGGAGAAGAAGGCGACCCAAAACGTGATAGGCCACAAATCCCCAAATCAGAAAATCCCACATAGAAAAGCTGTCCTAATGCACTCATGGACTCATAGATCAATTTTGATGGTATTATGGTAATGATTGGTAATATGTTTTCTTGGCAATTTGTTTGTGATTGTGGGGTCATATGGGGGCCAAGGACTGGCAAACAGATTGACCATATTTGACCATTTTCTTCAAGCGTAGTATCTGATTTGGGCCCCAGATATTCTTCGAATGAAAGATGTAACCAATGGTATCTTGTTATGGGTGGCAGCATGTTGTTTAGTTTAATAGTTTAGACCATTTTGATATGCTTGTTGTTTAGTTTAATAGTTTAGACCATTTTGATATGCTGACCGGCCTCAAGTATTTGGAACTCTTTGGTAAAAAACAAAAGCATTAACAAAGGGAACACAACAAGAATCTCAGACTCAAGAGCATGTTGATACTGGGGTTTGCTCTGACTTGTTATGGGAGGCTCACAACCAGCATAGTTTGCTTTCAAAATCACCCGTGGCATTGGAGATAACGCATGATCCCCGGTCAGTTTGTGCTTTTTTTGGGCAGGATGGTAAATGTTTGATGGGTGCATGTTGGCCCTGTGAAAATACTTCCAAATTCAAAAATCATTAGTCCTGGGCTCCCATGGGATATCACCGGATTCAAATGTATCTTTTTCAGTTTGTAGTTAGAAAATCGTCTTGGAAATATCCCTTCAACCCCTTGAAGATTGAGCTGGAATGGCCTAAGGTTCCACCCACTCACTTCTTTGCTTGGCTGAGGCCCCATGCCGTGCTGCAAGGATGTTTCCAATCTGAACGCTAGGCACCAGCGTGTTGCCTAGCGGAGAATCTGGGTAGCGCTGGTTTGTAGCTCTATTGATCGCCACAAAACTGGTACAAACCATAGCCAAGAGGTAGAGACATTCATCGAATCGCCCATTCAATATAGAGGCAAGAGCCAGCCTTGGTTTTCGATAGCATGTGGTGAAAGTTTTTGTAACAGTCAACTCAAATCAATGCAGCTTTCAAAGGTCCAATCTCAGCTACATATGAAACTGAAATAAATTAGGGACAGGGGGCAAAAACCCACTATCTGTCAGGAGATCCATGGGATTTTGGGGTGATGATCGAAACTTCTCCTTGGTGAGCAAGAGATCCATTTGGGCAGTAGGGTGGCCCTTGCACCGCATAACCCGGCTAACCCAAGCATGGCCACAGAAGAGTTCCACAAAGGAATAGGCCTGCAGTGCAGGAGCGATGCTCTGGCAGGACCATTCTTTCATCATATTCGATCAGATTTGATTTGAATGGGTTCATATTTTTTCAGATTGAATCTAAAACCAAACTGATTCACAAAAAAAGTCAAGTCGGAAATATATATATATATATATTATATATGAAATTTTATACTATACATTGTTCTTTAACCCCCATGACCTCGCCTCGGAAAATATCAGCACATTCTCCGACAGGGCGAGGAGTACCACCAATGCCATCAGTATCTGACGGACATCCCATCAGAATACAGAAGTTTGATTCAATTGATTTGTGGATTTAACTGGTTGAAACTCATCATACGTCATCTCTGTTTCTCTAGTTGGTTTAATAGGAGCTTGGTGCTTGACACCCATGCCCATACCCAACATTGCAGGCAAAGGATGCAAGGAACAATTCTACAACTTCTCAAGGTCAGGGACCCAAACTTGTTGGTATTGGGGCTCAGGACATGCGACTGGAAGGGGTTAATTGTAAATTGTAGATACCCCCCCACCTTCGGTGCGCCATTGGCATGAAGCCTCTTCAAGACACGGTCCAGTGGAGAAAAATCATCATTGGGCACAGCCATGGCGCCCTAGAAGCTAGCTCCCTTTTTTTGGGCCACCCAGCTGTTGTTTCGGCCGCTGTGAGTGGTACAATGCTCTGTTGGAATGATGCTACAACAGGATGATATAGATAATGTTTATGTCTTCCAAGTTAGAACCTCCTATGTTTCAAACAAACATCCCACACCCTTGCCACAGAACCATGGGCGCCAAACATGTCAGCAATGCCCTCGTGAGGCAACAAACGTCTTCGCCAGCCATTGCCATGAGACCTGGGCAGCAAGGGGATGACAGTGTGGCTCTTGGCTCTTGGAGCCCGACTGGTGTGACCCATTGGGGATGTGGGGAAATTTTATATTGCAACAATTGGATTTGGTTTCCAATCTTGTGCAAGTAACTTTATGATAGAATTCCCAAATTCCTACGATATAAAATCTTAAATTGTTGCCCGACTGCCTTGAGTGGTATTACACGTAGAATGCAATGGAATCAAACACATTGACATTTCAGAGGATGAGGTCCCAGGGAATCAGCGTTGTTTTTTTCCACGCAGGCACATGAGGTAGCTGTCGCTCTGATTTGCAATCAAATGCGTGCACTGTCACCCTGGAGTTACCCATAGCTACATATGTAGGTGATAAGATGCTGGAATAAATGAACCAGTTTGTTTTTAGACAATCTGATCTTTATTGAATAATTATAGTTCAAATGACTCACTTCTGGCAACTCACTTTGGGCCGTGCTCTAAGCACTTGTAAGTTGCACCGACTAGCGATAATTTTTGGGAAGCCTTGTGCTCAATATAGTGGATCCGCTTGTTGCAGTAATCCAGACCCCAAAATGCCAACTACTCCAACGCACTGGCTGCCATGATTTTTTCTGAGGATTCAATACCAAAGTTGTTGACAAACACCAGAAGGGCAAATCACATCCCAATATTGTTTTTGGAAAATTTGGTAAGAGTGAGCAGCGCGTGGGTAAGAGTTAAGCACATCCATGGACCCCACAAAATTTCAGCGTGATCTCAGGAATGTGTTCTAGTCACATCAATGCTTGTTAAAAGTCTTGGCCACATAATCATGAGCTGCAAGCGATGCAGCTTGTGGGAATTCTTCCACGGAAATCTTTTTCCCCTTCCAAGAGGTCGAGCAGAAGGTCCAGAAATCGTACTGCCAGGGATGTAGGAATAACTGGAATGTTGTGGGTTTTTGGCTGGTTCTATTTCCTAAAATTGGGTATATATACAATGTGTAAGATATTAACGAAGGAGGTTGGACCACAATATTCATAACTATAATCCATCAAGCTGTGCATAATACTAAGAAGAAGAACGTATGAACTTGGTTCTAAGTTCCAAGGCCGGAAACAAACAGAAGAGGCTGTAAATGGATGTGGACAACAGAAAATGCATTGTACTAATGTTGCATCCTAGAAGGTAGGCTAGCGAATAGTCTGTCACTCCAAGGAAACCTTTGAAGGTAAACAGCCTACTGTTGTTATGCTCTTTGGAAAATAATGCAGCTGATATGCATTAGAGCAGGTTTGCATGTGACACTATTGGGGCAACCCATGGAAAAACAAAACGTTTGAATGGTGGGAGAATGTAATGCCAGGGTAAAGTCAGATGAACACACATTACAAACTGGGGGGGGCAGACACTAAACGCAGTTTTAAAGAAAATATGAAACCAATGGCAAAACCAAAAGCACAACACAAAGAACACCATTTTCCAACACCGTCCTCATGAGCGGAAGCTTTTTGAATGGCAAGGGAGCGGATGGTGTCATTGAAACTTTGGCGAACAGCATCCCATTTGGCAATTGCACAGGGGTTGGAAGAGGGGCGAGCACGGCGAGCGAACGACTTGAGGCTCTCATCATCATCCCCCTCCTTGACCTCTCTGCCATTGGAATCCTCCCCTCCTTTCTTGGAATCATTCTGGGTTTCTTTCTTCTGCTTTGTTTTTTTGTCCATTCCTGTGTCAGTCTGCGAAGCCTTCTTTTGAGTCTTGGGAACCTTGGCACCTTTGTCTTTTGGAACCTTGTCGCCTGTCTTGTCCTTCGTGTTGGTGGCGCTAGCCCTCGACCTCCTAGGCTTGCTCACTGATGGCTCTGGGGTCTCCCCACCCAAATCAGGCTGCACCACGGCAGATTCATCAGCCTGGGCCTTCTCTACTGAAGCCTTTGGTTTCCTAGTCCTAGTTTTCTTTGCGGGTGGTTCTTCAGCCAATGGCTCGGATTCTTCTGGGGCAACATTCTTTGCCTTCCTCTTGTGGGCTGTTTTGGACCCAGGTTTCTCAGTCTTGTCGACAGCCTTGGCCTTGCCACGGCCAGCAGACTTGCCTTTTCCCTTGCCACGACCCTTCCCTTTTCCCTTGCCACGACCCTTCCCTTTTCCTCTTCCTTTTGGCCCTGTACCTTCACCTCCTTCATCATCATCATCTTCATCTGCCTTCTGTTTGAAAGCAAGTTGCTGGCGTCGAAGAAGTACCTGATAGCACAAACTGACATGGTACATGCACATGGCATAATTTGAAGCATGAGGGACATTCTTAAGGCTTTGGGGCGTTTCCCAACCAGATTGAAACTATCTTAGAATAAGCAAACCCAGAAAATCATTTTTACAAACTTTCACCCCAGATACGGCATTGGGAAGGGGCTCAGTCTCCACGTCCGCAACAACCTCTTCATTCATGAAATCATCCATGAACTCCTCTAGATTCATGGGGCAGGTATCCACCTCATCACCCCCAAAACCAAGAGTATCTGGGACCTCAATCAGCTCAACTGCTTGTTTGGGCTGCTTGATCGAACTTGGCTGGCTTGCAATCCTTAGGCAGGCAGGAAGAAACATGGGGTTAATGTAAGGGTTCGGAGGGGCAGGCAAAAAAACGTTATATAACCGATGGTAAACATAATATAATGCAATGTGGCAAACACACAAAAACATATTACTCATAGAAAACCTTTGCGGGTGAAAATAACTAAACCATGGAAAACAAATCTTGAAACCCAGTTTCAGTGCGGACTTTTGCCTGCGTAGGTTAAACAACTTGGCTTTCAACTCTTCGATTGAACCATTGCTACCACCCTTCCCATCTACAAACGTTTCCTTGTCAAAGTCGGGCTCTGGTGTAGATTTTCTCTTGTCATCATCATCATCAAAGATATGAAATTTGGATTTGGTCTGGGAAGCTGAGCCAGCCGACTTGTTCGAACTGGTGGGGGCCTTTTTCGTGGGTGTCTTGTCAGGCTCATAGGGCAACGCTTTGTCCCCTGGGGAGAACTCTTCCTCTTCCTCTTCACCCTGCACCAAGACCCCTACCCTTTCATCTTCTTCACCATCATCTTCACCATCACACAACACCACCACATCATTCATATCTGGTTGAGAGGCAGGAATTTCATCATCCATCACCGGCATAGAATCACTTTCAACACCATCATTCTCGGTCAATGCGGCGTCAGAGACCGATGGGTCCTCCTCCTTGTCGCTGTCTTCCTCATCTCTCTCATCGAACTGAACCACCTGCACAGCGAAACAACATCTAAAGTGGGAGGGACACGGTAAATTTGGAAGAAACTTTCTGAACAGTTTAGGAGGGGAAACTTCATACTAGACAAAGAAGAAATGTATCCCTTTCATAAACCTCAACAGGAACCCCCCAAAACTTTATGGTAGTGGAAACATAGTGTTATGATTACCAGGCCTGGTCCGGGCCATCAAATCGATCTGGGTAAACTGCCGCCATCAATTGACGGAATGCCCCACTCCTCGGTACCTGTCCTCGCTGAAGTTTTCGCTTAAGAAGAACCATGTACTTCTTGGCTAGCCAGGCATCAATTTGAATCCTCTTCTTCTCAAGGGGGACTGCCATGGAAATTCCCAACTTGGTAATCCTAAGTGCGGGATGGGGAATGGTTGGAACTTGTCAGTATAAGATGTCAGAACCTGGAAAAAGGGGTTTATAAAACATGTGTTCAAACCAATACCTAACAACCCCCCACAACTCACACACAAAACATAAGTCTAGAAGATTGATCTCAGTGTCTCTAGTACCAGGGCAGGAATGGACACCATGAGACACTCCCCATGTTCATCAACCATCCGACGGGCCAACGGTAAAAGGACATCATAGTTGGCACTGGCAGATTTGACGTTCACATGGGGCACATCCTCGGTGTTCTTTTCTGATCTGAACAAACATTTGTTCTCCCTCACCTGTCGGCGAACAACACGGTCACCCTCCCACTCCATATGGACATCAGCAATGTCCGCCTTAGCAGCATGAGCATGAGGATCGGCTGCTGCCATAGCTGAGAAAGCTGTGACAACCCAGAGATTGAGCCAAATACGTCGCTAGAGAGAAAAACAAACCTCCAAACACACTTTGGATGGATGGGTGTCTTCAGCTGTCAGCCTGACTTCTTTTGTCAGGTCATATTCAGGTTATATTAAGGATTTATTATATGATGATATTATATGTAACGGTTATCTATCAGGAACGAAAAGTTACCCTTTACACTAGATATAACACTTTGTTTGGAACATTGTGATGAGTTGCAGGTAATGGTCCAGCCTTCTTAAGTTCAACCCATGTTTCCAAGGTAAACCAAATGCCACATTCTTGGTCGATCCATCACACATCACCTCTGGGGCCCCTGGCATAAGCTCAGAGCTGCATTCGTCTGGGGTCAAAAAAGCGCAAGCGCGCTACTTTGGGGCGGCCTGTTGGCCCTTGAGATTGGCACAGGGACCTGATGCTATTGGCTAAGAACCCCATTGGACAGTTTGAAATTATGGTGATATCTTTGTTTTATCAAGGGATTATCCCAGGGATTCCAAAAGCACGCCCCTTTGTAAAAACACGCCCCTTTTGCAAAAAGACAGGATCTCAAACCAAGAGACAGGCTATTTTGAAAGACCTTCAAATCCGAAGGTCATACGAGACCCAGGTATACATTATATATATATGTAATTACACACTATGTGTGTGTGTAGTATGAAGATTTAAGATGTTCGCCATAAATCCGATGTGAACATCGGATCAATTCAGATCAATGGATCCGAAACTGATGGGAAAATCTTAAGGGGAAACGACATCCATCAATGGCGTTGCCAGTGGGAAGTAACCGGAGCCCATGAGACCAGAATAATGTATACATATATATATTATAAATACATATATTATATATATATATATATATATGATATCCATGTATCATATATAATATATAAATGTATATATATACATAATATATGTATATATATATATATATATCCCATCAATGAGAAGGAAATAAACCAACTCACTTTGGCCTGAACCTAGAGTGAACACCTTCCTAGTTTGATGATTGGCTGTCGCAGCTGCAGCTGCTGCTATGTAACAGGTCAAACAAAGTAATGGACCCTTCTAATTTGCATGGGTGTTCCTGCTTACTTCATTGAAGAACCACGAACCCCACAGAACATATATAATTACAACAATCAATCTTTCTCTGCATATTTTCGCAATGTTTTACTTTTTTTGTCTTTGTTCGGGTCCATAAATGCACATATTCCGTGCATGATTGGACATCCACAAAGAAAAGTAGCTGAGGCACTCTAAAGATCTCTAAAGTATGGGCAAAGCTTAAATACCCTGAGCCAAAAGAGCCATTTTTGTCAGCTGGATGTAGGAAGGCAACATGTTAACCCGTGTTTAATAACCATGAAAATAGCCTGTTTGGTTGGGGTACCATTCTAGTAGCAAATTATCACTATTTGAGGGGTAACCGTGTAACCTCCTAAATTTTCATCAACCATGGTATATATGGTATGAAAGATCATACATGGTTTTCCACCATTTATAGTCTGGTTGGTGGTTTTAAGTTTTAACCATCTTGAAAAATATTAGTCAATGGGGAGGATTATCCTATATATAGTGGAAAATAAAAAATGTTTGAAACCACCAACCAGTAGTTCTCATATCTTCCAACCATTGCTGGTTGGCCAACCAAGCACGCGCCCTGAAGATTCCAGGAGCTGTTCGAGAACTTCGCCAAGACCGTGACGGAACCGTCCTCAGGCACACCCCAAAAACATGAACAAAAAGAAACAGTTCCATGATCTTTCAACCATGATCATATCATATTTCAGTTTTTCAAAAATGCTGGAAATGCACCTGCTTTCAAAAACATGTTGAGGTTCAACACTTCGAGCCGCGGCTGCATTGGCTTCACAGTTGATCATGAAACCAATCTGGAATCTAAATGGATTCCAATCCAACAGGACAATTCTACAAACCCAATCAAGTCCAACTTTCAAGCTGTCATGACAAACGTGATACTCCAAACGACTTTGTCCAGAGTTGCTGGAATGCGAACCCAAAATATTCCGTTGTCCTATCTACAACTGGGAGAACACCATGATTGCCAGCACGCATCTGTCTTTCTGATAGATGTCATCATGCTGCTGGCTCAAGCAAGCACCATTGAAGTGGCCAATTCACACAGTCTTACACATTGTTCTTGCTGATGGCTCATTTACCTCATTTAGTGTATCATGGGACAGTTGTAGTTATAGTGACTGAATTGAGAAATGTTTCAACATCTTCCACGTAGATCATCTCTATATATATATATGGGTAAATCATAATATTTCACTAACCTGAATTAAGGCCATTTGGGGATGATTCCCCTTACTAACTATGACTTCCAGTGAGGTCGCAGTGAGGTTATAATTTACCCAGATATATCGATTTCAAAAAGAATACCTGATGGCTCAAGGTCAAGTCTCTGCATCCTTGCGAGGATGGAAGGTCACTTTCAGTCCGTTCTTTTCAAAGGCCACCTGGGTGGCTGGGTGACCAGCTGAACCCATCCCATGGTCCGATCCGTTTTTCTTGCCTTGCGTCATGTTGCGTTGACCATTCTGAAAAGTGGTTGGTGGTATACCCTCTGGCAAACTAACATAGCTATTGAAAATGACCATTTATAGTGGATTTACCCATTTAAAATGGTGATTTTCCATAGCTATGTTAAATTACCAGAGGGTATACCTACCCCTCTGAAAAATGATGGAGTTCGTCAGTTGGGATCATGACATTCCCAAGATATGGAAAAGTAAAAGCCATGTTCCAAACCACTCTTAATGTTGACCATATGATGAATTATGCTTGTTGATTTGACGCCTAAACAACTAGCAGTCAACCAGTCTTTATCCCAGGTAGAGATGCAGAAGTAACCAGTAGCTGAAACCACCAATTCATATGCAATGATATTTATTTACCTCAGATATTGACAGATATGCCAGATTTCATCATATTTCATGCCTACAGCTCCAAGCACCTTCTGAGACTGTATTAGGAATTGTTTTTTTGGGCTCTGTTTACACCTTCTCAGAACGTCTTTGGAGCACTAGGGCATTCTGAACATTCTGCACTGATTTCATCCTGAAAACTGCCATGCCGTGCCGATGTCGCTGGTGTCGAGGCACCATGGTTGGTGCCTCTGCACCGCCTGCACCGCCGAAGATGTCCATGAATCCTTCCGCCGGCGCCGGCGCTTGGCTGGGCGCAGCAGGGGCGCCGCCGTCCAGAAGATCCTGGGGGATGGTATCCGTTTATAAAGCCATCCAAGTGTAGTATGAATCCCAGAATCCCAGTGATGTTTGGTATTGTTTCCAGTTTGGCGTTACTGCATTACCAACAGCCCCACTAAAACCGCAGAGCTTCCAGCAAATCGCCCCCTCCACCACCAGTGGCCGGGTAGGCAGCAGTGCCGCCCGTGCCGCCCGTGGCAGGTGCCGCTTGTCCGTCCAAGAGATCGTTGAGATCTAACCTGAGCCCCAAAAAAGGGGGGGTGGTTTGGCGTTTCAGGTGTCAAACATGGCTGGCTGCGAACTCCCCGAAATGGAGGTTTTGACGCAAGGGGTGGGTACCATTGGTTGCATGTGGTACCACATTGACCTATTGGTTGCTTCATGGGGGTGATTCCTCTACAAATCAACTTGTGGGAAAAGGAGAAAAAAACGCCAAAAATGACAATGAACTCATCTGAGGGAAACAAATCTGGCACCCGGGAATATCCGCTCAAATACCTTGCCTGAAGGGTCAACAAAATCGCTCCAACGGTCCAACATTTTATGATATCGATGGTGGTTGACACTGAAATATATAGATATATAGATATGGGAGATAGTCATCCGTGGGATTCTTCAGATTCCTTCTCTTGAGAATATGGGAGGGCCAACGAAAACCATGGCAAAATCGACTCTGCGCGACTCCCTTCCTTGCCGCTTACTAACTTGAGTCAACATCGAACCCAAAAAGGGATGACTTAGTACATTAAGAAATACCCTCTGGCAAACTAACATAGCTATTGAAAATGACCATTTATAGTTGATTGTCCCATTAAAAATGTGATTGTCCATAGTTATGTTAGTTTACCAGAGGGTAACTAAATCTATGGTATGATTCCCTGGGCCTTCTATTTTGACTCATACACCTGGGCCATCCTGGGCCCATATGTTCAGCCTCAACACCCAGCATTTCATTTCAAATTATAAATGTATATAAATGTCCTTTTATGGTTTAAGCATCCCTCAAAACAAAAGAGTAAGATCTGAATCCAAACTTCAATGTTCAATCATCTTTTCAGATTTCAGGGATTGTCATCCCAAGTTTCCAACCTTTTTGGTGTGTAGATTTACAATGGGCAGTATTAACCAAAAACAACATAACACGTTCATATAGGGAACATCACCATGAACCTTTCAGGATTTCGGGATGTCATTTTTTTTCACCCCCCACTCCCCAACCACCTAGTTGGGTAAACAATGCATCGCTAATTGGGTGGGATTATATATATATATATATATATGTGTGTGTGTGTGTTTGTGTGTTTGTGTGTTTGTGTGTGTGTGTGTTCCTAACTTGACACTATAATTTTCCGACAAAACCCGTATGGTGTGTCAAAACCCTGGCAGCCCACCCTAAAATAGCTGGTGAATGCTGGTGAATAGATGATTCTTGCTCAAAATTTGACAATTTCATACAAGGTGGTGCCCCCCAAGTTTTAAGTTGGTTTATAATCCCATTAACTAGTTTGATATATCTACCATAAGTCCAAACGTCAAATTAGAGTTATATATATGTTCACCAACTGACTGAACGCTATCGACCGGGGGCACCACTTTGTAGGTAACTTGACCCATCCCCATCTGGGTAAATTATAATAATTCACCAACCTGAATTAAAGCCATTTGGGGATGATTTCCCTTATTAACCATGATTCCAGTGAGGTCGCAGTGAGGTCGTTATAATTTACCCAGATCCCCATAGTTTCGCCATAGATCCGCCGAGGCACAAATCCTTGCCACCGCCACCCACAGGACCCACGGGGCCGCGCGAAGCGCGCGGCACTTCGTCGATGGAGGCGTCGCCGATGTCACGGGTCTCTGCACCACCGATCTCCTGGGGAAGTCCTAAGAATATGTCTTCCTACAATGTGGTGCCCCCAAGATAGCTAAGTTGGTTTATAACTCTAATAAGTAGGACTTATGATAGATATATCTACAGTTAATGGGATTATAAATCAACTTATAACTATGGGGCACCACCTTGCATAATTCATATACAGTAACTCAATAACCAAATCAAATGAATTATTATGGTTTCTCTTAACTTGATCTCTCTATCTCTCTCTCTCTCTCTCTCGCCAATCTCTCCGTAACAATGACTAGATACCCTTAGGGCCCTCGGGTTTATGGTGGATATTTTGTAGTTAGAAGGCTTTACAAACACATGCGCAATTGGGGAATTCCTCTGTGCATTCCCATTCTTATCAATGACATGTTTATCATTTCAAATTATGTTCTTTCGGCATAGTTTATACCTTTTCTATGTCATGAAACAGTTGATGTGGACAGGCATGCTTTTAGGGCGAACCCCCCATGTCAATCATCACGTTTGGATATTTCTTGGTGGTTTCTGCGCCATGAAAAACTACGTGCGGACTGCTGGCCAGCTATGATTAAGCATATGTTCAACATAAACATAGGGTCTAGCCTACCTGAACACTTAGTAGCACCTAACATCGTCACTAGTGCACTCATCTAACACAAAGGTAATGCGTAAGGTGAATGAACATCATCATAGCGTAATAATATAATAGGATGCCAGCGTCGCAGCCAACAAATTAGATTCCCCAACAGCAACTTATATAAAAAACAAAGGAAGTGAAGGTGATGGATGTAAATCCCTGGAAGATGCACCTGTTGTGCACGGACTCAAGCTACCAGGCTTGCGGGTTGTGAGGTGAAGCTCATGTGCTAAAGATCAAGAAATGGGTGATTCAAACCACACTTCGACAATTGATTCATCAAGAACCCGCACCGCCCAACAGGGTCAGCCCCAATTTCGCTGTATAGTTTCCCCTACTGCACTGGCATTTTGGTGGAAAAGAATCCACTTTTTGGTCTAGTTTCCCTCAATGTGCCAGCCCTTCCTACGGTGATGGTGAGGTCAGTCAGTGAGGTCCGCCACACAATTTCCCTCTCCATTGGGGTTAAAGCCCACCTTTAACCCATCAACATGGCAGAAACATGCAGAAACAGCCAACTCTCCATCAAGGTTCACCCGTATCTGTTTCACGATTCACTCAACTATTGCCCTTTTTCCAGTGCTTTTTTAAGGATCCACCCACCCCCATCCCGATCCCGATCCCCAGTGCCGTCCTTCTCAGGCACCGGCATTCGATCCAAGATCCCCGGGCGATGCGAGTCCCAGTCCGCGCCCAGGATCTCGAGGAATTCGCAGCTGCGTTGCTGGAGGTCCACGTGAAGACTGCCTGTGCACCGAATCAGATCCACGAAACAAAGAGGATTTTATGGGATTTGAAGGTGATGTCATTATGGTCTCATCTGGGTCTTCCTATCAACTTTCATTGCCTGGTCACCCCGAGGGACTTTCGGACCTGTTTTTTGGAGCGATATCTTTAAGGGTGACCGCGATCGGAAGTCCCTGGAGTTAGATAACCCATGTACAGCAGCTGCTTGAAGGCTGGTTCACAACCCTACATAGAAACTGGTGATGACCATTGTTTGGCCAAACAGGTATTTTCGGGAGACTGGATTTTTTGGCAAGAAGTGGCGAAAGTTGTAAGCAACACATTAAAAAGAAAAACGTCGCTTAAGAAAAAAATCACACTAACTACATCTAACTACTGACCAACAACTGAAGAATACTTGAGAAGGAAAATTCAATGACCAACAATACTGAGGAAGGTTGGTGAGGATTGATGAGCGAGAAATAACTTCTGATGATTGTGATGTTTTCATTGAGTCAAAACTGCGGGGTTGGCTTTGACTTTAGCTGGGTTTAGCTGGGGTATTGAGCCCCATGCAGCACCAAGGAAGGGCAGTTCCCTAGAAATTATGATTCGCGCTGTCATCTGGATATAGCCTATAATCACAACAAAACGTGGAAAATGAATCTACAGAATTGCATGGGTAGACAAATCACAACAAAATTGAACCTACCAATTTCTATCATATGAATCACACGCTATCCATATAATTACTATATACATATATGATCATATATGACGGTTTGTCAAAATGTCCGCCGGTTTGGTTGATAAATCGTAATTCCTTGCATGCCGCCTCATGTTTGCTCTTCTAAAACATTGAACATGACTTACCTTGATGGTGTGAAAACGTGCAAATTCTGTCATCTTTAGAAATTTCCTTAAAAACCACAGGAACGCACGTCGATGTTCATTCGCTGTCGCTGCTCGTGCTGTATATTATGCATGATTATATTTCCTCCAGTATACATGGTGGCAGGGCTGCCAAGTTGCAGTCAAATCTTCGTAGCAGTTTTCTGATCTTCTCGAATTCACTAGGACACCTGGCACCGTTGGAGGCAATCCAACCACTCTCCGGCAACATTGGCTATCTTAAATGCACAGGTGCAAGGACTATGTTAGACTACCTCCGGACTTTACTGGCTGATGATGGTTGAAGATTCTTGTCTTAGCTTATACTACGAGATGATAATCTCACTTCAACAACATAGGACTGAGCCCATTCAACTTCCATTTTTACCCAATCACTTAGCATTGACTCTCATACAGTAACACGATAAGCCAAATACATCCAAAAACATCCAATCCCGGCAATCCACAATTTCAGGGTCAGTCGACATCATCCAAAAGAAGGATATATCTATATACGTAATTTCATTAAAACCCAATCTGAGATGGCTCATAGCCAGCTTGCAACAACCAATGAACATAACCCGACACTTACCGCCATGACCAATCTTACATAGCTGTTTGGTACACACCCCCATCAAATGGCAAAAACAATAAATCTACCCAGTCCAGTTGGTAAAACCCAACGAGTGCTGATTAAATCCCGTCAAAGGTACCCATCCAGTTGATTTCCCAATATATTTCGATGGCTGACTCTGTTCAATCCACATTTGGGTTGGCTAATTCATACATGTTCTTGGTGCAATCACCAGTTTACTTCTGTTGGTTAAATCCAACCTTTTGTTGCTTTAATCCCAAGTTTCTTGATGAAATCCCGTTTTTTCTGGGTTTAAATCTACCACCCAAACTCCCACCCCACCTGGTCACTAGCTTAATCAGTGCCGCCGTGACTAGGCAATGAGTTCCCGCCGCCCGCTCCGCCGTGGGGGGCTTCCGAACCACGTCGTAGAGCAGGTCCAAGACGTCGCCTGGTCGGCAATTTACCATGGCTGGGAAATCCCCATGGATAGTTTGATGGGAAATCCCCATGGAACTCAATGGGTCATGGCTTCCATGGCTATCTTAAAGAACGCAAGAGGGAGACTGTCAAAAAATGTCAAAAAGATTAAAAGAAATGAACAATTAGGATGAAACTGATAGAGGACATTCATGAAAATATTGATGTGGTGACGACGCATGAGACTCTGATTAAGGAATTGATGAAATTGATGGATCAAGTTTGATGAAAGTAGATGAACATGGATGGTTAGTACTGGAAGAATCCCATAAGAATGAAGGTGGTTAAGTGGAAAGCGAATGAAACGAGGATTAATTGATGGTGGTGCAAATCTGCTACATGAAAAATGGCAATGCTCCAAAACCAAGCCATAAATCAGCAAACATGTGACTTGAAAGCTCAAAAAGACAACACATTTGGATATATTGGATCAAAGAAAAAACAACACGCGCACACACAAATATCTATATATATATATATATAAATTATACTATATATTTTATATTATATATATTATATATTTAATTATATAATTATATATATATAATTATATAGTACATGGATGCAACGTGATGTAAGCAATTTGTGAAAGTCCCAGCAAGTCACCCAAAGCATCCAGCCCGAGGGCGGCCTGGTGTAACTCGGATGGGCTGGTTGTCGGGTCCCACCGCTTTCCCGGAGACCAAATGATCACCGAACTCGCCCAAGCACCAAACGCCTACGTGTACTAAGGCCTCTTGACTCAGGCTTTCCTTCATGTTGAAGTAGAGCTTGATCACCTGGATAACATCGGATCTATGTTGATCTGGGATATGGGATTCTAATGGATTCTATGGGTTTACCTGGACTTGAAATATGGGTTCAAACCCAACCCAAATAGGCCAACCATGGTGCTGGTATGTTTGCCTACATGGCTGAATCACGAAAAAAATGGAACATGTTGACACATATTCCGTGGTTGAGCCACCTTCCTTGGGAATTCAAGGGAATTCGGATTGGGATCATCCTTCCAAGTAGTGTAGAAAACAAACCATATAACAATATCTATCTCTCATTTGGGGATGATTCCCCGAACCAAACGATTGTCGAAATCTATAACGATGTCGTGGTGTCGTCATAAAGATATATATCCATATAGTTCCAAACTATTTTCATTGCTAGTCAACCCCCATTGGCCGTCTATATCCCTAAGAAAACTGCTTCAACGAACGACGTGTAGTATAAAATCGGTCTTAAAATATCCTAAAATGGACTAATTACCCACAAGTATGTCAATTTCAACTTTGGTTTCCATGGTTTTCCCCTAAATTCCCATTGTTTTTCCATGGCTTCCTAAACAATTTTCAGACAACCAGGGCGTGATGTCCCTCATCTCCGAGGTGCTGTGTAGGAATGCAGCTCCGGGGTCGCCGCGACCACGCGGCAAAACTTCTCTCGCTGCGCTTCCTTCACATAGTTTCCACCCAGGCACCTTGGGACAGACACCAGGTAAGCCATGTGGTGCTGCTGATTTCAGGCGTTCTGAGCTTGACGTTTGAGCACTGAGGGATCTCTATGATTGGCGAAAGACTTGTGGTTGAGAATTTTGAAATCAAACCTAAAACCATCTTGTTTGTGGTCATATATGCGCATGACTTGCTGCGGAAGTGAGCAATATGTTTTGCCATCTTCCGTCAATGCATTTAGTCACAATACTGATTGCTCAAATCCCATTGTTGGCTCCATCCGATTATCTAGGACTGAACATGCCAGCAACAACTGCCGCCTCCTCCACCTGACTTATGTGCCCTCCAAGAGTTCGATACAGCAACGGAAACGTGCATGTTTCTCGGTTTTTTCCACCAACCAAGATTTGATGAGATGTTACACTTTTTGCCACCCTGGTTACGTTTGAAAATTGGATACCGCAAAATTCAATGGTTAATCAGTGAATCATCATCCCTACAGCTCCAAACACCTTCTGAGACTGTATTTGGAGTTGTTTTTGGGGCTCTAAACAGAGCACTAGGATATATTTATCTTCGCTATGCAAATGACCACAGTAAACCCCAGACATGTTTGCCAAATGTGTCATGTTCCCAAGGCACATGACTTTGATCAAGGTATCGATCTGCCAACGGCGGTTGGGCGAAAACTTCTCAACGGCCATGCAGATTTTGCTACACAGCTCTTCCTGTGCTCTTGGGCGCTCTGAAACTCAATTTTCAATAGATTGGTTCAAGGGAAAATCTTAACCGGAAACCATGGTTTTTACATGTGTTTACCATTAAGTATGGGGGTTTCCTATAAAATTCCCCGTAAACCAATCCAATGAAATTTCATCCATTTCTCAGGTTGTGCTACGTTTTGCTGAACAAAAATCTTTCCTTTTCAAAGATTTGAGCCGGACCCATGGTCCTTGAAGTCGGCTTCTGCCACCAACAAATAGTTCAGAAGCTCCTGGTGGACCGATGGATACATCGCTAGTGTCATGGCTTGGGGGATCACCCTGGACCTGCTTGGGTGTTTGTGGGGGTTATAACTCACCCAAATCGATCCAAATATAATTTTGGATAGCCCACTTAGAGGGCGACTCTGATCATCGGGGATGATCCTCTATGACTGTCACCAGACGAACACAGAGACACCACATCATGTTGCGGGGGGTGAACACCCATCAGCCTGCACAGTGGATTGGCTTTCAAATTACTTTGTGCAATCCTCCTGCAGTATAAATTAGCATCATAACATCTAAATCTGATTTTGGGAGCTCTGTTTGCCCAAATACATGTGTGCATTCAATAAATCGTCTGAAAATTGTTAAATTCTTAATGACGCTGGCCGATAAAAGGATATGATATGGCATGATATGGCAATTTTTGATGGCCTCAACTAGATTTGATTTAGTGGGTGTATTCGTACAACCCTTGTTGTTCCATGAATCCCATCAACTGCCGGAAAAAAATGGCAATGCCCCATCGTAAACATCCATGTGTTTTGGGCTAAGGACTATAGAATGTCTTGACTACCTAGGCCTTCCACGTACCTAGAAAATACTTATATGCCCATAATTTTGGGACTTTCCCCCACTTTCATGGGTACTTCATCGTATTTGGATCCAAGTAGTCCAGTGATGTCCAGGGCAAACAAGAAGAACTCGCTGCCTTCGTCATGCTCTTGATGTTGGCTTCATCCACCAGCGAATAGGTCACATCTAGTGCTCGCTTTCGAATGGAAATATCCGGGTCCTCGCCAGAACACGCTGTCGAAGACGGCGGTCTAATGGATTCCCTAATCATCCAGAGCACGTCAAATTAGCGTACATGGTGCCATAGACTATTTACATGACAATGATTTGATAAATGCAAGGCCATATTAATTGCTACTGATTGAAAATCTAGTCTGCAGGTTGTAAACCCAATTTTCACACGTTTTTGGCTACCTGGGTTCAATAGAAATTAATAGTCGTTCTACGGTTTGTCTACTGTTTTTTTCCTTACCTGGAGGGACCTAAATTTTAAGACAGAAAAAGAACAGGGGATTGATTTAAGGGAACACCTACAGGAAATCATGTCTTTACCATTATACACAGAGGTTTCCTGTAAATTTCCCCAATTCTAAGATACGGTGGGTTTTACGATGTTTGGCCCACTGCTAGCCCTAAGGAGTTGGCTGGACATGTCCTTCCAAAGCAATGCCAACCACATTGGCCAATGGAGATGGCACTTGTTGGAGGATTCCGAAGAAGGTCATGTCAATCCGCGCGTTATTTTCGAGTTCTAGAATGAGCGACAAGAACATCTACTAAGAGCTAGTAACCCTTATCTTTACTGGTGCTTAGCAGGGAATGGGGGTTGCTGGGATGATTCTTGCTGGTGATTATGGATCATTCCCCTATTCCCTGCTAAGCACCAGTAAGTTCAACGTCAAATCGTGGGTACCGAGGACAACTGAGATAGGATATTGAAACCATCCTGGTCCGGGTAGCTTTGGCAGCCTTGAATTTCTCGATTGGAGGTTCCAACATGTTCAAACAAGTGTATCTACTCCAGACTCCACACAGTTTTCATTGAAGCTTGAGGTTACTTTCTATCCTTCCTGCGGGTGGTCCAGAAACTCGGACCCCAGAAACGACCCCAGGTTGGCTTCCCATGGTGTAGAGATGTGCAGGGATCTCATTTTTTCCAATTTGATTTAACATTTCAACTTGGACTCAACAAAAACATTAAAAAAACACCATCCATGGTTGAAATTGAAAAAACTAAGCAGCCTGCAACTTGCTGTTATGATATATACTTCCGCGGTACCCCGTAGCTTCAAAGTCAACCCATTTCCAGCCGTCATCAATGGCCTTCAAGCAATCGATGATGGTGTTGCGGTGTCGCTGCATGACTTGTTGGTCCACGTTCACCACTCGTTGCAACGTTGCCAGGGCCACATAACCTTTGAGCTGCTGGGGGAAGCCCTCAAATGGCGAAGGGTTTGTTGGAGGGCTTAGGAACGCCCAAAAATGGTCAAGTTTGTCAAGTTTGATACTATAATTTTTATTGGGTGTCCACATCACATTGACATGTGATAATGCAATAATGCAATACCTAAAAATCACCTGGTTGGTGGATGAGCCACGCATAGCATAGACAATCATAGACATCAACAACATTACCAGTGGATGGGGATGATCAAGGTAAAGCCCGGATGAACTTTTGGAGTGACGGGTGAACATTGCGTCCGTACAACCCACATTACTGCAAAGGCCCATGTAACTAATCGCACTTTCAGTAGCTTTCAGCTTTTACGTTGTACATATCAATCCAAATTCTACCGAAACCTTCTTGTTCCTGTTCAGTCCCTGGCCAAAAACCAAGCTGACCAGCCCCTTTTCAAGCCAGATCTTCGGCCAAGGGAACGGATGTTGTTGTCCCGACTCAGCAAGAAACGCCCCAAGATGTTGATTCCAAGCACCCGCAGGCCACTCTCTGCATCAATGGACATGATGGTGAGCACACACTCGTACCTGGAACGGCCAAAGGTGGCTGGGTGCAAGCTGTGTCAATTTCCAATTCTAAGTGGGATTGTTCGCATTATAGAGATGGAATTATCTGCATCTTCCTGAAGATTTGTTGAGAAAAATGCATGCATCTAGCATGTAATTCATGTATACACATGTATATACTGTAAAACCTCGGGACACCTTTACAGCAAGACTTGTGGACTCCTTGTGGACTGACATATGTCGAAATCGATATCTTCGCAGTTCACACCGAGCAACAGAATGGAGTTGCCAGTGTTCTTGGTACCCTCAGTGTTTGTGGCAACCTGGCGCTCCAGAGGGATGAACATCATTTGCCATCCGTGTTGTCAGTCTAGCAGCCTAGCATGCCCCAATAATCCCCCCATGGCCATTGTCAAGAGGGCCATGTGTCAAGCCAAATGCCAGATTTTCCATCACCATACTGGATCCCAGCCAAGGACTGTTTCCGGGGCTGACCATGGGCATCCGTCTTGCCTGTCTTGCCACTCTATGGTGACCAAGCCCATGCTGACGGAAAACTATGACTCAGCGCCCAGCCTGTGCCAAGATGTCGTTCATCTCGTCGCTTGCATCCTTACTATTTGAAGGATCCCACCGGATGGTGCCAGGGATCCCAGGGCCCCGGTCAGTGATGCCTCATGCCTTCAATTTCAGGATTGTGTGTTGACCTACATCTATAATCATCTATATACCACCTAAAGCAGTGTGGCCACAACATAGGTGCACTTGGTTTCCTTGCATTTCTTCAACAGGAAGGGGCCTTTCTATCATTTCTATTTCCTTGAAATGGACAGTGATGGCCGTGATGCCACTTACAACTGGCCCATAGAGCTGATAGATATAACCTTACAAGTTGGAGCATGTCTAACCCGGGGACCCGGCTCCATTTATCAGGGGACATCTCAGGTTCAACTCTTGCTATCTCTTGCTATGATACTTCACCGAGCTGAAATAAAGTGACACTGGGATAGTTTCGCCACCATCTACCCATCTATAGTGATGTCAGGGACGTCCTGATGGAATTCTTATAATTCAGCCACGTAGTAATTCGTGTATAATACTATACCCTACAGCTCCAAGCACCTTCTGAGACTGTATTTGGAATTGTTTTTGGGCTGTGTTTACACCTTCTCAGAACGTCTTTGGAGCACTACAGTAGGGATAGACTAAATTACCTGAATTGACCCAAACATTGCCAATCCTTGCGATTTGTTTGCACCAAATACCATGGATATCATTAGTCCTGTGGCTCTTCAAACACCGAGGCTGCCGAGGCTCAGCATTTTTTTCACCAAAGAGCCGGAGGAGTCGCAGGACTTTGGCCTGTAGGAATGGATCTGTAATGCCTGGCCGCGGGTCACTGGGGCAAAACATAGGTAACGTGTAACAGTGTAACATGACATATAAACTGATATAAAATGCATACACACATATTCACATATAAGTTCTATACGGTAATAATCACATATAAATTCTATACGTAATCACATATCAAAACAATTCAAAAGATCTGAAAATCCAAACACACATAAAAGTTATTGAAAAATCATGGATGTTTTGCGGCAAGAAGTCCACATTTCTGTTACTTCACAGGTTCACGGCAGGTCAGCCGCCTGCGATGTCATACTCCGCAGCATTGGTGTAGCCAGAGGTGACCATATTTCTGCACGTGGCCGTGGTCGGGGCATGGGGGGCATTCATCCCGAGTGACCCCATGTGAACCCCGCCCTGCAGCGGCACCCCATCCCACACCTCAAGGCCCTCACGAGTGCTGGGATATAGCGCCGAAACTCCTTGATGTAGGATGGGTTGACCTCCAGGAGAGCAGTCAATAGGGAGCAACCTGCAAGTAGCACACCATGATTGCGGTCCTAGGCGCAAACAGAGGTGAAACAATGTGAAACACGGTGAAAGGGGCGCTACAGGGTGGATGTTGATGGATTTGGGTGGATTGAAACGTCTGGGAACCAAACATGTGCCGGTGGATGCTACTGTAGTGATTGTATAGTGGATTCTGGGATTGCATTCGCAGGGTTTTCAGAGTAGAAAATAATATAGCAACTTCTTGAAACCGCCAACAGTGAGGAAACGAGATTCATTTGCCCTTCCCAAACACAAAGAGAATACGGAAGCGTACTTTATACTCCACTCAATCCCGAGATAGAGATGATGAGAACAGACATTACTGCACGTAGTCAAAAACATGTCAAAACGTGACCATGCTCCTGAATGATGGTGGCAAAAAAAAAACTGTGGCACTGAAAGTTATAGCAAGTTTCTTGATTCTACAGTACGATTGCACATCTATTGGATAGGCACTCTTCACCACAACACTTTTAACTGATTAGACATCTGAAACATAACAACAACCCTTATATGGCGGCTCAATGCATGTTCAGTAATCATGCAGGACTGAACAAACATTTCCTCCCAAAAAAAGAACACTTATTATAAGTTATATGATACTTCATTCCCCAAGAGTCTTCAAGGAGGTTTCCAATCTTATTGTTGAACTTGTCCTCGATCTCATCCACCTTTCGCACAATTCGCATGGCGCAGAGCGCCGCCTTCTTGCGGATGTAGGGGTTGGGAGATGCCATCCTGACCGGGTGTGGCTGGGCGAACCGGGCGGAAAAAAGCCTCCATCTTCTTGGGTTTGCTGAAAATAGGGTGCCCCAAAAAAACTATCAACTATCATCATTTCCCATTAAAAAAGGCTATTTATGGCTAATTTGGATCTATATTTGGTGATTTTGATTTTCACCATTTTCAGACACACCCATTTCAAGGAAACAAGATGAAATTCCCACGGCTTGTTACAGCGGCCATTCCCCATAACTCCAATGGCTTCCCAGTCACAGCTCTAGTTATGTTTGTTCTTATGGCGAAACAAAACGAAGGCTATCATTGGCCACTCTCAACATGCGAAACTGTTTTCTTAAAAATAAATAAGAATAACGGGGTCATAACCAGAATTGTTTTGGCATGTTTTGGCTACTATTGGATACTATTGGCAATGATTGGCTGCAATTGGCTGCCCATAAAGTGCTATACTTGGAGGATCATCCCACTTAGTAACTGCATGGTAACCATGGTTATCCAGGGTTATGAACCAGTTGGTTACTAAGCGGGGTTGAACCTCCACGTACGAATTGCCATCCTGTTCCCAGCCGGGCATCATATTCTCCACTTCCCGCGCCAGTGCGCGACACATCTCGTTGCTGCCGATGTTGCCTAAAGCGCACAAAGCCAGGCCGTTGACGTACTGATTGTCGTTGGCCATGTCATTCTTGATGGAGTTTGTCACCAACCTTGTCCCAGAAATAGGGTTTTCATGGAATTTCATGGGCTTTAATTTGTAGTTTGATTTAGTTTCTGGTTGGTGGTTTCAACCCCTCTGAAAAATATTAGTCAGTCGGGGTTACTATTCGCAATTTATGGAAGAATAAAAAATGTTCCAAACCACCAACCAGAGTTGAATAATAGTAACCACCCCCAACTACCCAAAGAACAAAGGACAACAGGATTTATCAAGTGCTGGTCCAAATGTTCTGCTGTTAAATTGGGGTTCCACCCATGTGTTTATGACTGAGCTGGTCACTAACATTGAAGTCGTCGATGTCCTACTGAAGGGAGCACAGGCGTGACAATATGTTCGGATCCGATTTTGCGTCCTACTGTAACTCCCTGATCCTTCACCAATGTATACCCAAATACCCCACTATCCCATTGTATTACTACAGTAAGAAATGTCTCAACAGAAAAGGAGAACAAACAAAAAACACAGCCAGTAAAAACATCGATTTGCGTTTGGTTAACCCAAATCAACAATTCACGTCCATTCACCTGGTTTCTTTCAAAAACTCTCTCTCTCTCTCTCCATCGCCATTCAAGAACTGTACACATGTGTTTACTGCTTTTGATAAATCCATTATAGTTGGAGATGTTGGGTGGCCAAATCATTTGTTTGATCTGCCAAGGCGCATGAGCACCTCGGTGTTTTCGTCCAAGAGCTGGGTGAGACCAAGATAGCCCACGCGCTTCTCCTACACCGCTTTCAACGGTGAAAAACACTGGGCTTTGCTGAAGGAAAATAGGACATCCGCTGATTATGTAGGTTTATAGTTTATAATGGTTTATAGCTGGATTTCACCATCGACAATGGAGTTTGATGGGATCTAACTAACCAAATGATAGGATTTAAATAGTTTACCCCACAGTAATCAAGCATGGCAGTGGATTTGTTTGCACTCAATGGGGGTTTATAGCTGGGAACATCATCGAATTATTGCTGGAGGATTTTCCAGGTAATTAGCTATGATTGATTGCTCAGAGGCTCTGAGTCACATTTGTTTCCATGGTAGCTTGCTAATGCTTGCTAGGCAAATGAATAGCTGACAGACGGTCAGAATCTCTGCAACCTTGACACTCACCATCATTAAGCTGAGGTGCAGGAAATTTGCTGGATGCAATCAACTTCAAGCATTCCATTTGCCCAAAATGGGTTGGATATCCCATCCTTGGCCGACAAACATGTCCACATGTCCTGTGGGTCCTGTGGCCATGGTTCGAATTCAAGCCCCAAACTTGGAACAGCCACATGCAATGACTACAAGCACGACAAACCAGGCGTTCTGAGTGCTTTTTTATTGTTTTGGGTAACTTATTGTCAACATTTGGCAACTCAAAATCATCCAACTTCCGGTGGCCGGCTGCATTTTTCATGCCACACCCAATTGCATCATGGCACATATGAATGAAGAGCAACTTGGCCACATTTCGGTGCCTGGTTCCGATGACTTGGTCGAGAAACCGTCCGTTGTGAAGTGGTCCCCTTTTTTGCGCAGGTCAGCCGGGGTCAGCCATAAAGAAACGGGTCCCTTTCCACTGATTGGTTAGTAAGTATTCCGACAGTGTTCCTATTCAATTATCTCCATCTCCTATTGTAAGATATTGTATCCTATTATGGATTACGTGTTATAACAATCCCACTTTTAAAAATATGTAGAGCAGTCCCATATATTCACCCATCAACAGAGCTATTTTGTTCATGGCTGACCTGGAGCCTGAGATCCTCGCACCTGAATTGGTTGTCATCCTCCTTGAAAGCCGTTCGAATCAAAGCACACTCCCGTGCCACGACGGCCCGTTCCTCTGCCGCGGTCTTGCATGCGCGAATGCTTCGGATCAATTCCCGGAGCTTAATGGACATGGCGAACACGACCTAAAGCGCTGAAGGTCTCAAGGTGATTTTGGATGAAACTCGTGGATGGCATCCTGCTTCAGCGGAAAGCATGCCTTATTGACTGCCTGATAGCCATGAAGAAACACTTACGTAATGATGCGGGATGCTTCAGAACTTCCATCAGTGTCAGCTCGTCTGTCATTTTTAGCTGCTTCGATACGTTTGATGCGGTATCTTAATAGATTTGTGGCGGCCATGCCTCATGCCCTACTCTTGGCCATCATGAAGCTTGAGCAAAAAGTTCGGGTACAGTTTGCATGATCTCATCCTATGAACTCCAACTTGCTCGATGTGTTTTGGGTCATGTCACGTCTAAGTTATCAATGGGATTTTCATGAACCTAAATTGGATGTACCTACCATATATAAGGCCTATATATAGGCCTATGTAAGGGAATATCCCCACAAAATATGGCCTTATATGGTACAGTACCTCCATTTTAGGATCCTGAAATTCCCATTGAAGTTATGATGTGTGGCAACTAACTCCAATCATCTGTTCATGCTTTCAATATCTTACGGTATGAGTCTTAGCAGTTAAATCTATAATAAGGCTAACACTAATAAGGATTAATAAGGTGGTTACATTCTTCTGATTCAGGCATGGTGTGAAGATTCCTGGCAACAAAATCGCAGCTAAACAATTGCTCACGGTAGTCTGAGTGAAAATGAATCTGTGTGAATTCCAGCTATGAATTGAAACGTTATATCCCATTTGATTTTCTCATTCATGGGTAAACCAAGATGCCTTTGCTGATCACAATGTGGCAAACTGTTTGTTGCTGCAGGGGAACTGGCCAACTAATCAACAAATCAGCAGCGGAGTATTATTTTGCCAAGTGAAATCATCGGTTATGAATCACCCTGTAGATCTTCAGCATCACTTTTGTTTCCATCTTTTTCCGCCAACATCCGCCAACAGTTTTCTCCTGCCAATTTGGATCTGAACGCCGCATACAATGTGGTGCCCCAGTGAAAGTGGGATGAGAAGCACAATTAAACACGTGCACACACACACACACTATATATATATACATATACATATATATATACATACATATTTATATATAATATGACATAAACCTCGCAGTGAACCAATTTATTTCAAGCAACTTTGCTAAGTGGGAGCACCACTGGCTGGTGGTTTCAAGTATCTTTAACCCTGGGATGATCCCAACCGACTCAATCTAAGTCATGTTTTTGCTCCCCAATCGGTCAAGCACCACGCATATAACACTTCCTCTACCTAGACATCATAGTACAGTCAGGGACCGACAGAATATGAAAGAATAAGTGAACACGGATAGTATATATAGATGTATAGAAACCAACTCCTATAGTGCTTCCAAATACGTCCTGAGGTGTTTAGAGCCCAAGAAACAACTCCAAATACAGTCTCAGAAGGTGTTTGGAGCTGTAGGGAACGTTCTCTAATGCCAAGTAGGCCGGGGCACCACAGATTTCAATCAACCGCTGATGCGGAGCCGCCGCGACTGGCACTCCTGCGACCTGGCCCCGCTTCGGCCGCGGCACGCCCCGTCTTTCAAGGCGAAGGTCCCGGTGGCTGCGACGGAGATGTCCTCAGGACGCCAGGGTAGACCGGAAAAAAACGAAGTCAGTTTATAACTCGAATAACTTCGGTTTATGGTACTTATAACATCTTATAACATCTTACTTACTGGATCTTACTGGGGTTTATAAACCAACTGATTCAAATGGGGGGCCCCACATTGTAGGTATATATTTTACCCCAAAAAAGCTAGGTACTTGCAGGGTCTAGGTATCTCCAGTCTCCAGCAACTGGATCATCAAAGTCACATGCCCGAACTGCAAAAATATCTGGAACGCAACCAACCTGAAGCCGGTCCTGAGTCCCTATGTTTGTCACCAGCTGCATAGCCAGGGAAATCTCCGGTTTCCAACTGAAGGAGTCCCAGTGGATCTCATCTCCCTGCAGCCAGTGCTGCCAGTGTGGCAGGCTCGCGTGTTGCAGCGCAACACGCTCAGCACTCCGCAGCTCCGGTGGGAGTCGGGCGGCGCCATGGAGGAAGTGATGGGAAGGGAGGCTGGTCCAGTTCCTTGGTTTTTTGAGGGGAAACCAGCTGGAAACTCATGGGCGTAGCATGGAGGGTCATCATAATTGAGTAATCCATTTGAATAATCATATATAAGCATACTGCACGTGATTTCAGCAGGTCTATGTAATGGTCGAAGTTTGACTAAACCTCTGCTTTTATGTATTTTTAGATCCAATAGCATACAAGATATACACGGCAAGCGGAACTCATCATCACCCAATGGTGAGAGTCGAAAAAGAAGTGGAGTGGTTTGTTGGATACAATCCCTTTTGCATGGTACAGGCTAGTTCTCATGGGGATAGAGTTTTGGTACGGTCATAGACCCAACCAATGTCTACTACGAGTACTTAATGTACTTACAAACTTAACATACTAAAATTATCTAAAAGCACTGCTGAAACGCACATCAATCACGGGTTGTTGGTCCCAAACCATCTTCCAACACTATTGGTCGATTGGGGCAATAATTCCATGAACGGAATGCAATGCATTCCTGAAACCGCCAAGACAAGTTAAGATCATTTCAAATCCATCTTGCAAGCGAAATTCTCCAGAAACCCTCGGCTCCAATCACTTGCACGCAGCAAGATGAGGTCTGGTTGTATGCCCCAGCCATCTGCACTGATCAGCATCTCCGTGGCACTGGTCACGCCATGCTGCGCGAGTAGCGAAGCCAGGTCCTGGTCCTGCGAAGCATCGATGATGAGATCGCAATCGAACCACATGAGCCAGTCGTAGCCAGGGCGCTGATCAAGAACGAACTGCAAGGCGTAAGCCTGCAAGGTCGAAGCTTGAGGCTCCAAGCAGTTGCAAAAAGGAGTGAAGTTTGATTGGAACTCCATTTCAATTTCAATGTAATTGATATATTTCTGTGATTTTATATGTATATCATTAATATATCTATCTAATATTATGAGAGAGAGAGAGAGAAAGTCACTATGGCACTCCAATAACCTCCAGTACCTCACCGTGGACTTCAGGCTGTAGGTAGCGATAGGCACCGGGGTGCCCCAAAACATCCAGTACCAAAAACACATTGTTTAAGGGGATGCTGTATATGAGCAATGGTAGCCAAATGCCAATGAAAACGTCTCTAAGCACCATGAGCTATATTCTTTAAACTTTATATAGCTATAGTTATAGTTGATAATCATAAGGCCCAGCAACTCGCCAAAATGACGGGGAGTTTGAGAAGGTCAAATTTCTGCGATGGAATCGCTCCATCAACTCTTTGGCATCAGCAAAGAAGTAGAGATCGTAACCTGCGGCAGGACTCACTGTGCTCGATGTTGGGGCATGGACGGAACATGTACGAAAAAATGTTTGGGAATGTTGGTGAGCTCGGTCCACTAGCAGTCGCATCTACTTGCAATACGGAAAACATGTAGAGTAATTGAGTTCGAAGAAACATCAAAGCTTGCTGCATAGCAAACAAGTAGCCATGTCGCTCAGCATATTGCCTGAACTGCTTTTGGGCACTCGAACGCACAAACTCTGTGTGCAAGCCCCCACAAGCACTGACCACCGCCACTTTTCCAGCATCAACACGGCTCTCCGGCTGCCTGTGCTGTTTAAACAGCTTGTGCCCAAGCCGCGAAAATGCTGAAACCAAATCCCTTCCTCTCAAGGGCCACTGGGTGCATTCTTCATGGGCTGCCAATGGAAACATCGCCAAGCCCAGTTGCAACAGGGCCAGTTGTCTCAACCAGTGCGCCCGGTCACCATCTTCCCCTGCTTGAACTTCTGCTAGGCTGTAGCTGGCAGTGGCTACAGCCCCAGGACACCTTGCAACTGCTTAAAAGGGTGAGAAACAAAAACATACATTCCCAGTAGGTCCCGCAATTTCTGTAAGATAAATAAATCATGTGATTGGTGGTTCAGGGTTGGAAATGCTTGAACATTTGATTGTCATCCCGGGCAGTGATGGGAAACAAAAGACGTGCAGTAATCGAAACTATTGCTTACTTCCTTCCTACATTAGAACATCACAATTGTTCTGGTTAAAACTCTTATCATGCGCCGGTTTCAATTGCATTTGTTCATGATAGCACAATCCCAATCTTTGCGTGTAAAACATATAAATGTCACAATCTATGGATTTATATTGCGGAAATCTTCAGGAATAAGCCGCTAAAACCATATAAAATCCAATGAAAACCCCGATGTTTGCCGGTGAAACACTCATTCCTGCGAAACATGGTGAAACATGGTGAAATCCTGAAGGTCCAGACCAGGACACTGGGCTGCCAGGAAGTAGCTTTGTCCTGCCAGGTGCAGCAGCTGTTGCAGTCGTTGCTTCGCTGCTGAGGTGCCATCAATGAACACCGAGCTGCGAGCTTCCTCGGCGGCGTCCATTTTGGCGGCGAGATGCGGGGAGTGAAACTGGTTGACAGGTGAATCTTCCAGTAAAAAATAACTGAGTTTATCAGTTGTGTTCATTGGGTGGGACGGAAATTTGAAACTGGATCCAGCCAAAAAAAGGAGAGGATGATGGCGGAAATCAACACGGTGGATCCTCGGTGATCTGTAAGGTTTTAAGTCAAGCTGGAGGCGCTGGAAAATCTTTGGATGCATGAACCCCATTATTCCATCTGCCCATATCTGCCGCATGTGGTGTGATTGGCCAACGGTGACCATCTTTTGAAATGTATGTTGATAGAGGGGTGGAAACTCTTCCTTTTCTCCGGAACCAATCAAAAAACAATCCGACATGGTTCGACCAGTTCTGCTGGGGGTGTCCAGTCCTCACCTGGACATATGAGAACCTCATGACTGTAAGAGTTGAAGGACCTGAGCCCATCATCTGGACCCCACATGACCCCACCTCACTCCCCCAAAAAAACTACGACTGCCTCTCACTACCTCCATGTGCGGACACCAATCCGATCAAAATCTCAGCAGTTTTGGATGGTATACCCTTCACTTCATGACTGCGCATGTGGTAGACACAACAACAAATGTGTTAGGGTATATGAAACGGTGTCTTACAACTGCTGGCTCAAGACAACATGGGCCAGTTGCATATTTTTTTCATCCAGCTAATGTTAGAGCATTTCAGGGCATATGAAATGGCTTGGTAATTAATCTCGTCCCCCTACTAAAACGCACCCGGTTTAGTAAAGGACATCTATCTCTTCATGAAATATTTCATCCTGCAGGTATGTCAGGTTGGTCCTATTAAACAATTATTCTATAACATTATATAACTATATAGTTCATATTCTGCGTATATATATATATATATTATATCGCCAACATCGTAGCATCACATCCCAACATATCCATAGATATCCCATATCGATATATACCGAAGCCATCCCATGGCGCCATGGCCATGGCAGCCATGGTTCGAAGATCTCACCTGTGAAGGCCGTCCAATCCAAGGTGGGACTCTGCGCATCCAATGGGCCGCACTCCTCCGCCACCGCACGCGCGAAGATCTTCTCCGAGGTGCAAGCGCCCGGATCCGCGGCGCACGAAGCAAGGGAACCAAGGGAGAGGATGAAGATCCAGGAGGCATCATGGGCAAACATGAGAAAAATCTATAGGCTATTGGATATTATTATATAATATTATATAGGCTATCATTCGCAAAACTAAAGATGTTGCATGATGTTGTATGTTTTGTTGATATGATGTTTCGCATTTGTTGATGCATGTTGCATGAAGAAAAAACACATGGGCTGGATACCAGTTTGGGTTTGGATATATATATATATATATGCCTGAATATAGGTAGTTGTAACCTAAATCAATCTATTACCTTTTCAGCACGTGGCAACTTGTATATGGTATATGTCATCAAACGTGATTGTTTGATATTGTTTGAAGGACTTCACACCATAGCTGTTAGATATGTGCACAAGGGTGTTTGTATGCGTTTACACGCGCACAGCGACCTGATGCCATACGGTACCAATGTTATCAGAATGCATATCACACATCAAGTACATGTCAAATTCAATGTGACTCCTGATCCATGGGAACATGTTCGTGAATGCCATGTTTAAGCATAGTTTTGCTAAGTGCTGGCCGCTGAGCTGGCTGCAGCAAGTGACCCAGCCGCTTCAATGAGTATTCTATTCCCAAGTAACCATCACTCTCGCCACAGATGTCGAAGAAGAAGAAGAAGAACAACAACAACAACAACCAGAACAAGATCAATATCAAGAACAAAATGGCTTCCTAACAACAACAAAGAGCCTGCCTCCTACGGCCTCCAACCAACAACACATAGTATAGTGATTTGGTCGCTCCATGTCGCTCCACATCACCCGAGATGGATTGTTGATCACCTGCTGTAAGAGAGGAGAAACACCACCCTCTTGTCTGAACCATTCAACATATGGGATGTTAGGGATTGGCCGGTTTGGTGCGAGAGTGTTCTGTAAGTTCTGTCCTTATCACCGCCACCACGAAAAACTACTCAACTGTGGCTTATCTCCGATAGCCCTCCCCTGAGGGTGGGACCGCAATAGGTCTCTGGCAAAGAAATCCTGGCGCTGCCTCTCGGCAAGCAGACTCCAATTGATAAAGAAACATATCTTATTTCAGGAACTCAGTTTTTTGTTTGATGGTTTTTGCATTTTTTTTGGTGGATCAAACACTAAAATCCGCAAAGGTCAGGATTGAGGGATCCGAAACGGGCCTGCTATCACTTGGCACATTGACTGCTATCACCAGTCAGAACTGCCCTGGTCTTTTCTCTTGTTTCTTTGGTCCGCCGGCATGAAGGGATGTCCATTTCACATGTGATATGCGGCACATGTCGCGGAGATATGTGGAGCCTCAAAAGCATGGATTGAATATGGTTGAATGCATTATGCGTGGCCAAAATTGGTCATAAAGGAATTACACAAAAATACATGAAAGATCATGAAAGTATTTCGATGAATTTTGAGGCATGCTAGCATGGCCGCTTGTTGAATCTGTACATCGGGATTAGCGCTTGAGAAGGCTGCTGATCTTGACTTCTGAGATGTGAATTGCTGGGCGGCGTGGTGCCCTGAACCCCTCTGAAAACCAGTGGTCATTGACATTGAGGGGTCATCATCCCAAATATTAAATATAGGGGCGAACTAACATGGCGAGAAGTCCCCCAGATGAGCTGCGAGTTCTACGGAGTAGATTTCCGTAGCAAAAAAATGAGCTGTCCATGGTTTCCTTCAAGCAATTGAGATTTGATACTGCCAGATCAGACTATCAGATGGTATCTCGGGCGCGCCAGCAAACTGTACAGGGCACAGTTGCTGGAGCCACTGAGTGCCACAAGAAGACGCGAGCTGCAAAAGATCGCCCCATGACAGGTGAAACCAGGCCAAAACGTTCAGGGTTCACTTATATTGATCCATCCATCCATCCATCCATCCATCCACTGTATTTATCTAGCTATGTACTACATGGCATTACTGTGTATGTATCTATCTACGCATCTATACATCAATCTATCTAGTGATGTATCTATCTACCGAAGTATCCATTATATTGATCTTTCTATATCTATATCTATATTCTACCGTACATTCAACTATTTAATAACTATATCTATCTATCTCTATCTATCTAATTTACATGCTTTTGTATATATATATATAATAAAAACTACCCCAGATTATTTGTTTTGGGAAAATTCAGATTGGTCAATCTGACTTTTAATTGATCCTCTTTAGAAAACAATTTAAAACTCAAGGTCCATTTGAAGGTTCTACCCCCTTAATAATAAAAACTAGTTAGCCCCGGAGTGTTTTTAATTAGGGTCCGTTTGTTAAAATCGAAAATTTTATTTTTTTAATTGAGGGTTTTAATTTGATATTAGGGGGAAAGCTTCGAAATCCAATTTTTGGCGATATTTTAATTAGATTTTAAAAGGGAATTTAATCGATGTTGAAATCGAAAATTTTATTTTTTTTTTTGTTTTTTATTATAAAGTATAAGGTTTTAAATTTAACATTAGGGGAAAGCTTAGCTTCGAAATCCAATTTTTGGCAATATTTTAATTTGATTTTTAAAGGGAATTTATTTGATTTTGGAATCAAACATTTTAGTTTGTTTAATTAAGGTTTTGACTTTAATATGAGGAGCCAGCTTCTCCCCCGAATATTAAATACCACCTAATAATAAAAAATACCCCTAAGATATATTATTTGGGGGGAGACGTTTAGTATTAGGGTGAAGGGATTATATGTGATTATATGTGCATATGCATATATATATATGTTTATCTGTCGATCTATCTATCTAAGCTACACATGACATAAAACAATGACATAAGGCGCACAAATACCGTTCTGCGACAGCAGAAAGTCTCACACTTGTACATGACAGTCATATTGGGAGTCTCGTTTGGGATTACCATAGTCTGCCACACAGCAAATGCCAGTGATCCAAACATGGGCTACTGCCTATACATATATAGTGTCCAAAGTGGCCTTCGACATGGTTGTCCTTTTAGATACTTCATGATGATATTCTGCAATCCCTATGAGAACCCGCAAGTATGGTAAACTCAATGCTGTAAACGGTCCCAGTACATGAGCAACCATAAAATGGGGTCATTCTGATCAACATCTTCGCAGCTATAGGGGTCTATCCTTGATTTCATCGAATTTCATAAACTTCATTTGGGATATTTTGGGGTGGTGTGTTAATTATTAGATTTATATACATAGATTTAGATACTACATTGTAGAAACCTCCGCACAAATAGAACAGTAAACAATCCTACCAAAATTATCTGACCAAGGGCATCGCGCTCCCCGAGAGCTCTTTGTGGCGTCTTGGGCGTCCTTGTGAGCACCACTCGAAACTTCGCAATTTGTTAATGGTGGTGCCAAGACAGGCACGCGGAAAAATTATCAAGCCAAGGTATGCCCAGGTCATGGAGATGACACTTGAATAATCTTGAATAACCACACCTGAGCTGGGATATGCTGGGATCTAGATGATCTTGTCTGAAGCAAGACGTGTCAATCTAATTGTCAAATTGCTTTGTCGATTGAAACAAAGCTTTTTGCATACAAGGCACCACCACCCACTTTTGATTAAAAATAATCCAAGCAATCCATGCTGCGGGGCCTTTCTGAACGTTGGCCCCCAGTGTTGACTGTGGCGCATGGCCATTTTGGCACTGGAGCCTTTGAAGGATAGTTCATCATCCTTGATGTTCAAACTGTTTGAAGTTTGAACCAACCAAAGCGGCATCCATGATAACCAAAACATCGGTGGTGTCTTAAACGGCTTCTGTGCGATGATTGTGAAGTGTTGTCTGATCATGTCTGATCCATGTCTTGCAGTTTTCTTATCTTCTGGTGTGAAGCTAAAAGGTTACTGTACATCCTTCTCTGGATTGTCGGCTCAACGAGGCAACATGGGTTCATGATATTCATAGCCCTTGGGAATATTGGGGGAGGTTGGACCATGTCCTCTACAGAATCATTGAGCCTGTTCCTACTACATCTTACTACCATATAAGATGTGATGGCCCAACTCGTTCACCACAACAGGCCAAAAAACAATGATGTGAGAGACAATCAATACTTGTATAATTAATCGTGTTTGGCCACAGCCGATAGGGAACAATGCCACATGCCGCGTCTCATTCTTCAAATTGTGAGCCGCGCGCGGCCTGAGTGCACTAATGGGAACGAACGCATGAGCTTACTACCTTCAAATGCGCCCAAATCATCTGTATATTGATATTTTAAAGTATGTAATCATTGCATGTTCACCTCAAAAATGCTCTAAGAACCATGTCCCATATATGGACTGTTGCAAGGTTCATCAATTCTTGTTTGCAGGTGTTGACCATCCAATATGTCACCCTCTCTCTCTCTCTATTTATATATATATATATTATAATGCTATATATAGGCAGCACCTCTGCATCAGACTCCTCCATTCCCCCAGCTTTGCCGCCATTCACCGCCAAGTGGCACGCTGTAGGGTTTCGATGGTCATTTCTGATCCGCCAGCTCTTTGAAGGGATCGTCCAAGTCACTTTTCCCAGTCTGCGCGTGCATCTTCTTGGCATCCTCCTGTGGCGCGAGTGTCACTAAGACAGGAAGCTGCATGACCCAGGGTCATGGCTAAGGCTCCAAGATGGTCATTCTTTAGCCAAGTAGTGACTTGTATGTTTTGTTTTCTCTTTTATTGTTTTTTTGTCATATGCAGCAATGCAGCCATATGCAAAGTAACTAGGGCACAATGTGGACAATAAACTGGGGGGACGTAGGTCCATGGACTGGCGCTTCCTGAGGGTCTGCCTGCGAGGCCTCCCCAATAGTTGAAGCTTTGCCTGTGTCAGAATCACAATGCTTTCCTTCAGAGCGACCGTAAAAGAAGCATGCAGCAGTCCAATCATCAGGTGAATCGCAACCAATCCTGATTCTGATCAGCTCAGCTCAGCCTCAAAGTATCTTCAACAAACATGTATATAGCATGAAGGAGAAAAAACATAACATCGTCTCTCTTGGAACAGGTTGAGTGGCAATCATATCATGCAACATCATTTGCATTGGCCTAATGATATGCCCCCCCCCCGGTGCCCCAAAGTAGGGAACCTCCAAAAATAACGCCATGGTCCTCCCACATAAACCACCTCCAAAGCCAACCCGCTCCTGGACCGCTCGCATCATTTGCCTGGGATCCGGGGCCCATGGATCCTATGGTCTCTTGATGTCTCTTGGGTTGGGCCCTGGCAAGCGACAGCAACAACACGCATTGGGATTTACAACCAAACCGGGCCATCCATTGATGATGATTTGACCATCAACACTTGGGATTTCATGGGATTTCATGGGATTTAACTCATATGGGTAAAACCATGCCATAATAAACCACCCATGACATGGGAATGGTAGACATACCACCAAGAAAAATGGTGATGACTGGTGGATGGTTTATGACATTGGTTTACCCACATTAATATCCCACATAATGCATACATATATATATATAATCTAAACTGGGGCTTATAACCCCAATAATAATGGAATAATATGGAATATATGGGAACATATGGGTTATCATTAATGGAACATGCGCATATGATCTTTCCAAAATCTGGCAGCCAACTGCAGTCCAGCGGCGCTCGCTGCTCTTCTGGCGTCAGAGCCGTCGCCTCAAGGCAAACGATGGTCCCTCCACCCACGCCACCAACAAATACAAACAGCATGTTCACTTGTTCAATAAAGGGTTGTTATATAATCTATCTATCTAGCTAGCTAGCTATCTAATCTTATCTAATCTTATCTAATCTCATCTCATTTTGTCTAATCTTAATCGAATCTAATCTATCTATCTATCTATGTGTGTTATGTGTGTGTGTGTCATATCATCAACCTTCACCAAAAATGCACTGCTGGTGGGTGGCGATGCACAAGGCTTCCCTATAGAAGTTGCTTAAAACACATGACAACCGAGATCATCCATATGTATCCACATCTGATATGTAGATCATCTACAAATGTCCGATGTTCCATTACCAGGTCGGGTTCTCACGTGGTCATTTCAAAAACTACCGTGTTTGGAGAGTTAACCTCCAACAGCATGAATAGTGCATGAAGGCATAGTTGTTGTCAGGTTAGACTGTTAGACAATTTTTTTTTGTGGTTCAAACCTATGCTTTCCTGGAAGCAGGATCCTAGGCCACGATGAGTGCCTCCGGTAGAATTAAAGATGGGCGGGGAAACAAAAAACCCTGGAGAATTCCTAAGACATTTGGGGGATGTCCATAACTTGGAGATCCCCAATAGTTGGTTTCTCATGGAAAATCCACAAAATGAAAATGGATGAAAATGGATGATTTAGGGCTACCCCAAACCGTTGAACCTCCATTTCGCTGCTATTTTCCATGTTTTTCCCATCAAACAACGAGCCACCGGCCCAGGCGTGGGGGCATTGAAGGCCGCCGCCACCGCCGGCGGCAGATCCAGCGTGGCATGACTACCTGGGAAAAATGTCCGCAGAAAATGAAGGTTGAAAGCTGGATATTTAACCATCAAAGATGCGGATTCACCATCCAAAATCAGGATTTCACCATCAAATGGGGGTTGATGGAATCGAACTAACCAAATAAGGGATTTAAATCGCTTACCCTTCCGTAATTGTTCTCTCTCCATCGCCTTCTCGAAGAGTTCAGCTAAGCTAAGGGCGAGTGAAAAACAACCGCTCCACCAGGGACAGGAGTGTCAGCAGCGGGTATCAACAAGCTGCTTCATTCTCCCATCCATGTGCCCGGTGGGACATGGCAGTGTGTCAAAACCTTGTACCCCTGGTGAACATCAAAATAGCTGGTAAATGGATGTTCATTACCCTAAAAATGGTATTAATAGGTATTGATCCATACCCACATCTCAATAACAATATAGATCTGTTAAAAGAATTCAAAGCCGGAAGGATAAATCATCGAGCCAAATGGACGGTGAAAACCAGCTAGCCATGTTTGACTACCGGAAATAAACACGGGGACATGAAACCTCCAAATTTGCGCGCCATTTTTATTTAACCATGAAAACAATTGAAACCATATTGATTTCACGCAACAAAACGGAATATGAAACAAACTGATGCATGGGCCATAGCTTGTCCAAATATTTCACATGGACCATGTTTATATCACCATGATATTCCATTATGATCATGTTAGTATATCTAGACTGTCCCAATCGTTGATTTGGAAATTATCATATTTACACACATAATATTCCATCATTCTCATATTATATTATGAAATATCAAGACATCACCGGAGTGCCCATGAAATCCGCATGGGAAAGAACGTGACCCACAGGAAACAAGTTGCCAGGGGCAGCAACACCCGCAGGCGCCGTTAATGGATCGAAGCTGCTTAGGAGGTCCTGAAGATCGAACAACAGGCTTTGCATGGGATTCTATGGGGGTTCTATGGGTTTGTATGGGGGTTACACGATTTATGGATTCTATGGGGTTTCTATGGGTTGATACCCAACTCAAAATAGAGATATCAATCATGCTTGAAGTAGTTATAAATTGGTTTATAAACATCACGAGGTAATTCGATATACCTACCATAAGTATGGATAAGTGTCATAAGCCCTAATTACATGAATTCGAAATCAAGCTATGGCAGCTATGGGGCACCACCATGTATGCAGTATGCACATGTAACCACCATGGTGCTGGTATCTTGATGAGCATTCTAACACCATGGAGCATATGGGTAAAATTCATTTCAGGAAGATCCACAATGTGGTCCCCCACAGTTACAAATTGGTTTATAAAACCCATTAACATCCATGAACTATAGATATATTATATGATGATATATGATGATATATGTATAATTAATCATTAACTATATGTATCATTAACTATAGATATATGTATCATAAACCCTAGTTGTTGGGTTATTGGAGCTATAAACCAGCTATGGGCTATGGGGCAGCGGGGTCATCCCAAAAACCACCAAAAACCATGGCGTCCAAAGGGCCATCAAAACGACCTAAAAAAAAACAGGTTTGCAAAGTCTTCAACATAGCAAAATAGCCGTTTAATGATTGGAGTTTCCAAAGTTGCCAATCTAGAAATTTGGAGTATCTTCTTGCAAATTGCACTGGAAAATACTGGTTGAACCCATATCTAGTTGGTGCCACTTCATGATCATCCAAAGTGCCAAAGGGGGCACTTTGAGCCATGTGAGTCTTCAAAACTCTCCGTCATCATCGTCATCCCTTTATTATCTTATTATATCTTATTATACTGGTTGGTGAAGGGGCCACATTCCCAATCAACTGGGCAGTTTATACATGCTTATACTATTATAGAGTCCCAAACGGACAATTCAAAGAGGAATTTGGTCACTGCCCACTTTAAGCCAACTGTCATCCCGTCATCTCGTCATCCCGTCATCAAAATGATGCACCACTTTTTTCAGACTCGGAAGCACATCCAGCAGCTGAGTCAAAAGGTACAAAAGCCGCGTGCGTTGCCCCGCGCACTCACCTGAGACAGCGCGGGCAGCCAAATTTTCCATTTTCAATGGACCTTAAACATAGCAGTGATGCAGTGTTTTTTTTTGATGTCATATTTATATGGCCGTTTCCGATTTCCAAATGTTCCAATACGTGGATGTAGCCTGAATCCTTGAACCCGGGTGGAACCCAACATCCGCGCCTTTTTAGCTTTGCAAGCCTGTGGGGATTGATTTCAGGGCATCCTGAAAGGGTGCAATAATTGATTGTGCATTGAGAAATTCATATGTACCACACCATAGTACATATATACTATATTATAGTAGGCATTTAGTAATTTACTTTCATGTTCTTTTTGAGGGTTGCTACAAATAAAAACCCATGACAACTGAGTTGTTGTAACTCCAAGTCGTTCAGGTGCTTCGAGTGGCAGGATAGAATCGCCGCGCTGCAAGTGGTTGCATCTTGTTGGATCTCTTGGTGCCTAAGATCATTCAGCAAATTCAAGGCTTGCTGCCACTGGGCATGGCAGCTACACGCATAGATAGCTGTGTTGTAGATGATGATGTTGCCTCAGTTTTGCGGAGCGGAGATGTTTTTCGTGTTTCCATGTAGTTCTAACGCATCCACCTGCGGGGGAATGTGCGAATGATTTGGGATCTGTGGTTTAAAGTCACAAAACATGACCCTTTTATAATTGAATTGCATAAAAATAACCTAGGCCCTCCAAGTAGGGTTTATGGATTAAAAGTACTAAACATATCTATACATATCTAAACATACTGGGTAAAAGAATGTAAAAGAGGTACGCATCAAGAACCTGGAAGCTCGGATGACCCCATTGAAAGAATTCATTCCGAGTGACCTACAAGTACTGCATCTCTATAATGTGGCAAGCCCATCAAATTACATGGGTGGCAAATATCCTCGACATTATCAAAGTTAATTATTCAGATGTTGTTTTGTTTTTTCCTCCAAATCATTCCAAATCAAATTCAAGAAAAGAGATGCAAAAACAAACAACATTCTTTTCACCATTAATAAAGGTGTCCCTAAATCAACAGCGGTAGTTGCCCAGCTGCTCTGAAGGGTTTGAAGCTTCAAGTCCGCCAGTAGCAACAAAGCCTCCGCGCAGCTTGCTGCTTGGTGGTCCGGGTTTTCAAGCGAAGCCCCAAAAAGAAGGCAATGCCAAAAATGCAGCAAAAATACCGTAGTGGATGTTCAAAAGATCAAATCTCTAACTTAGTACGTTTTAGTTTTTGATTCCAGAGGTGAGCAGCTTGAAGCATGATGATCATCAAAAAATGTGGCGCCTCCCCTTGAAACAGAAGAAAAACTGGAAAAGTAGGCTTTGATATGCTGTGAATTGCTTTGATATGCTTTGATAATACTGCTCATCTTCCAAGAAAGGAACATGCAAAAAGTTCACAAGGACCAGCCAGACATGACACACACACACAATGTGGTAAACCCCATGATGAACCTTCTCTTGCAGGATTGTTGAATCCAATCCATTTCTGGTACGAGTAAATGTGAGATTGGTCCTTTGGCGTTCTTGGCTTTGGGCATATATGATTACCACACTGCCAACAACACGAAAAAACAGACCATGCTTCAAGAAGCATGTTGCCACTGCATGCCCTTGGCACAGGCGCTCATGGCTGCGCTATAGCTGATAACATTCTTCTCCATGCTGGCAGCCAATAGCCGGAGGGCCGTTGGCCACTGGCTGCCCTTCTCGCACGCGCTGATGGCGGCGCTGATAGTGATGACGTTGATGTCCAGGGAGATGGACGTCATGAAATCCAACAAGAGAAGTGCGTGCTGCCAGCGACCGCACTTCCTTTTTTTTGGGAGGGGTGGTGTTTTGGTGGTTGCAACCCGTCTCAAACAAATTAGTCCATTGTACAGTAAATTATGGATCGCAAAAAAACATAACGGGGCACCGGCCAGTGTTCCAAAGCGGTGGGCCCCGCAAAACATCCAAAGGTAGATCCTCGTGGGGGGGCAAATGTTCGCCTTCCATCTCATGCAGAACATCATTCTTATATGTTATATTCTTATCTGAATTTATCTGATTTGTCTCATGTTTTCATGCCTGCTCTCTAAGTTCATGGCAAACACATGAAATGTTCAGCTCTTCAGCTCATTGTCGTATTCATTCATATTCATGGGGGAAGACATCACACCAATGAAATTCCCAAAGAAAGGGCCAGGCCCAATTCCTTTTCCGTCCCGTGGATCCAAGAGCCAACGTAATCGGAATTATTCGGAAGATTGCACGCCCTAAAGATTGAAGTAGTAAGTCGTTCCCCATTATGACAGTAATTATATACACTGGTTGGTGGTATACCTACGCCTCTGAAAAATATGAGTTCGTCAGTTGGCATGATTGTTCCCAATATATGGAAAAATGCAATTCATGTTCCAAACGACCAACCAGTACACCATTTTTGCTACCTGAAATCTGAAACAGCCATGAAGGAGGGGAAGACGGTATGCCCGGTATGCCATGTAAATGCTCCCTTCATCTTTTTCTGGGAGCGGCAGTCTGACTACACCATCTGGTATGCTGACAGTTTTCTATTGAAACTTGCCTATTTAGTTCGATCAATTTACCTACCAAATATGATGGTGTTCCATGGCTATGTAAGAAATTGCCAAGTGTGATTCACCACTCAAACTACGCCGGGATTTTCCATAGAAATGTCATGTCACATTTGACCAACCAAAGGCTTTTACATGGCACTTGGGAACTTCCATGCCCAAGCGTCTCACAGGCCGAGATTGCCGCATTGACACTCACCACCCCCGGCGACCCCACGGCGAAATGTCGCATCAGCAGCTCCAGAGCCCAGCGCCACTCGGCGCACTTCTCGCAGGCGCTGATGGCGGCGTTCCACGTCGTTTCCTCACAGGGGCTGAGGGAAAGCAATTGTTAATTTCTAGGGAAAACTCACATAGATCTGGAAAATGGATGAAAATTATGGAAAATGATGGAACATGATCCATTTAGTTCGTTGAATTTTCTATTAAAGATTGTGATTTTCAGTAGCTATGTTTAGTTTTATCTGCCAGAGATTATCTCCTTACTTCTTGCTATATTGGCTATGATCTCATTATCTCATTGTCGGATTTTGGCTTCGGTCTGGGATGATGGGAACCACAATTTGATGAGCATTTGATGGAATGTCGTGGGGTTAACAAGGATATAATCGAGGGATTAAGAATCAAGAACTTGGATTTAAACATGCCAAGTAGGAAAATATGGAAAATAGAGATGAAGGTGTAGACAGCTAAGAAGGGCATGCACATAGACATTCATAGACATAGACATGGTCTCATTTCAACAAATATGTGACCATCAAAGGTGGAAGGGGGGGGACAAGGGCAGCATTGACCTCAAGCAGGCACAATGGAACCACTAAAAATTGTGTTTTTTTGTGGCTCAATGAGCCCATTACCTGCTTGGAGGATCCCACTTAGTAACTGGATAATTATAGATGCGCTACTTAACTATCCTTACGTTCACCAGTCACGAATCGCATCGAATCGCGACAAATCTGATCCAGTTTCGCCCAGTGTCGTCCGCCACGTCTCCCGCAAGGTCCAAGAAGAGCAAGGCTTCTTCCCAGCGTCGGCACTTTTCACAGGCCGAAATGAGCGCGTTGAAACTGATGGCATCGGCCTCGAGGCCCAGCGTTGTGAGCCTAGGATCTGGCACCGGACCCGATCTAAGAGGAGACAATTCGAGCTGATTTGAATCATTTTCCTGTGTCCTCTTGGAATCTCGACTTTTTGGGTTTGCACTTTGACATCCATGTGCGTGAGTGTCCGTTCCAAGATTGAAACCATCATCCAGCGTAGGTCGGCGAAGGTATCCTAAAATGCCTTAGAAGTAGCGCCTTTGATTTCCAAACATTTTACCGAATACCAGCCTTAAAAAACCAGTGCTTTGCAAAACAGAAGAATGCATGTCGGGCAATGCCATGTCTTTTCGACGTATATCATATCGGCAAAATACCTCAGCTGTTGAGGAATCGTACATTTTTCTGTGGCTTTATGTCTCATCTACTGAGTTCCCGTTTGTTTTTCCGTGTAGCAATTTTTGGAATGTGTAGCACCCCAGTTTAATCCAGTTCATCAGATCACACATTGAATCCAATGATTGTCAACTCCATATTTGCCCAGACGCTCCAGGAAGAGTGACAAAGCCTTCTGCCTGAAAGTGAAAAGAGCGATAAAGATGGGGCTGTTGATCAAACGATACTTTATCCAAAAAACAGAGTTTTGCTATGTGTTTTTTTACATGTTTTCCCATGTTCTTTGCCACTCAATTTTAACATTTTAATATGTGACCAAGAATCAGGGGACGTTACACAAATGAGCACACCTTTTTGACAATCTCAAAAAAAACATAAATACCTGCAAATTTTTGTGTCAGAAATATATTTACAACATCTTACGACCACTCTATGTCTCTGGCATCTTCTAGCTTTTCGGATTTGCCACACATGAATGACTAGTGTTGCTTCACACGAATTCAGCAGATTCATAATTATATACACAACTTTAATTGGATCTTGTCAGATTTTTGAGCTTTCAGCGTCCGGGCCAAACACATATGGTGATTTGAAACGATTGGAATCAAGTCGGTGCAGGCATTTTGAACATGAAATTCCCATGAAAACATGAAATCCATTTCAACCCCGATGTTTCATGGTTTCAACCACCAACATTTCCCATATAAAGAATATATATATATATATTCGAATGGAATGTCATGGCCTAAATCGCAGCATGGTGCCATGTCTTGCCCTTCTCACATGCGCTGATGGCTGAGTTGTAGATCACCACGGTCGCCTCCAGCTGCAGATCCTTATCGATCTGCCAGGAGAGTCTGGTGAAGTCATCCAAACCCTATGAACATATACACACAATTGTTTTATATAATTTGACCATTATTTGTTATATATATATATAAATAATATAGGCAACTAAGTGTCATAATTACATATATATATATATATATGTAATAATTATGTACATGATTGTACCTGATTATAATATATATATATATATGTAGATGCATATACATCATGATACATCTGCATGTGAGCATGTACAATTGATACGATCCAAGGCTCCTTCATCTGCCTCAGGAGTTGCAAGGCCACACGCCACTCTCCCGCCTTTTCGCAGCAACTCATGGCTGAACCACAGGCGAAAATGCCCGCTGTCGCATCAATCGCATCTGGGTTGCCTTGGCATCCCACTATAGTGACGACTACTTGGTGGCAGGTAACCCATCTAAACTCAAAAAAACAGATGATTAAAGTATATGGCTAGAATCAGCCCAAACCAAGATTAAATACCCGTTACTGTACGTATGGGACCCCGATTGAAGACATGCATATACATATACATATACATATATATATGTATATATATATATATTTATCCACAACAGCGGCTTGTTATGTTTTATAATTATTCGAGATGCTGAAAAGGCATTTCCAGAAAGTAAATGGTGTGGGGAAGGTAACTATGCCTTGTCTCACATGAATCGGGGTGTCTTGTCTTCACACATCCAGCTATGGCAACCAGCTCAACTTTGATCTGAAAAACACTAGGGTACTGATGACATTTAAACGAGGACGCTGATAGCGTTCTAAGCCACAAACAAGTGAAATCCATCCACAAGAAGCAACCAGTTTTTAATGTTTTAATGTGAAAACATAGTGTGCATGGATTTTCAGCCTGCGACCATGAACAAAAGCCGGGATACTAAGCAGTCTTGAGCCATAACTACCCCTAAACACCCATTAACAAATCCATAAAACTCACCAAATTCCCCAAAAAGAGCATCAAACCCAGTCCCTTATAGTAAACTTTATTATCCCTTCAAATCCAGAGAAAAAAAACTCCCAACATCTCCCAACAAAAACAACAAGACACTTCTCCGTTCTTTCAGTTCTTGAGCCATGTCCGCGAAAATGCAGATCCCCAGCCTCCAGTTCTGCTCGCAGGCCCCGATGGCCACTGCTGTCAATGCTGTCACTGGTCCCTTGGCTGCGGTGTTGCGTGGGTTGAGCTCGTTTGGAATGGATATATTACACACAACACCATATCCAACAAATATTTACTAAATCTACTAATAATGAATACAACTTACAACAAATTAACTACGCACGGAAAGTAATATCGTGAATTTTATATAGATATGTTCAAAACGTCTGCCAGTGTGATGATGTTTTTCCTCATACGACAGGGCCTGGCAGGCTAAACCGCCAACCATTTTCCAAAACAAATAGTTTGATGAAGTCAGGAAGCAACTGTTTCTTGGATTGGCAATTGGGTTGCGGAGTTGCGGGCCGCGAGTCATGAGTTGCGTTATTTATCTAAAATACGCCTGATTGAACCATCAGCGGGCCATCAGAAAAAAAACAAGATAGGAGCAAGCAACTAACTAACAAAAGAGCACTCTCTTGCTGCATGTTTTTTTTTTTGTGTGTGTTGTTTTTCCTCAACCTGTCCAGCAAAATAGCAAAGCTAAGACACTGCCGCTTCTGAGTGACCGGATGCCAACAGCAAAACCTCCTTCCACTGCAGACCCTTTGCGAATGCCAGTGCTGGCTTCACCTCCCATGAAGAATCCCTGACGGGGTTGGCACATTCAACACATCCACAGAGCATTTAACCAGGTCCCACTTTGTCAAAGGATACTACTACTCTTACACAAGTGTATAACCTTTTCGTCTTCAGTCTTCTTGCTCTATGGACCTCGTATTGTATCATATCATTCAAATGTTTTTCCTACCCGTCCCAGGGTCCTCCCCCACCTGGCCGTCGACGTCGTCGCGCAGAGCAGCACCTGCTGCCACTGCGTCTGGCGATCGCAGCACGTCAGCACCGCGCGGGCGAGGACGTGATCGGCGCGCAGCTCGTGCTGCCGGAGCTCCTGGCGCGGGTTTTAAAGGGGGCTCGGCTAGGCAAAAAAGGGGTTGATGGTTTCATGGTTCAACACAATGAACATGAAATCAAATAATATATAATATAATATAAAACGAGAGAAGTCATTTGGGATCATCATCCCAACATTACAATTATGGTTGAAATTAAAATCATGTAACATCATGTAACCACCAGCCAACTTGCGATAACTAGACACTGGCGGATATCCACTTGTTTTTTTTGATCAACTAATCGAACTACCAAGCCCCAGCACTCCTGAAGCAGCTGCACAGCCTGTGGCCATTGCCCACCACGGTCGCAGGAAAGGATGGCGGAGGTGTAGGCCAAAAGGTCGACCATCCTGGCGAGAATTGTCACCGAAAAATGCAGAAAAATCGAGCTAGTCGGAAAATTGATTTCCTATATAGAAATGATGTTTATTTTCATGGGAAGCTACATGGAAACATCTGATAAACATTGATAAACCCATGAACACCAGCATTTTTGGGGGGTAATTACCCCATGTTCAACCCATTTCTGGATATGTCTGGTAGATTTTGACATGGAGTTGTCTGAAAATTGATGGGAACCACACAAATTCCATTTATAGTTGATCATCATGTTCCTTTTTATTTGATGGCCATTTGGAATATACTCCTCTCATCAGAGAAATCCAAATGGACAAAGATGAAAAAAAAAACGGTACGGTAGATTGTTAGATGATCGACTTTTGGGACATGAAAAGCGGTGGTGGAGCTGAAAATGATGCTGGTGGCTGCTGTATTTTTTTTTTTCGCGGCTTTCAAGGAGCTCAAAATTGACCCTTCGAAATGGTCAGGGAACTAGAATTCTCATCTTCTCTGTGGCTATATATAGAATGAAACGAGATGTTCACCTTTGGGCACCCCGGCTTTGAACACCTTCAAATGCAACCATATAGGGCGCTGAAAGGCTGGATGAGCTTGACCCTGGACTTCATCAACTTCTTCTGGTGTTAAAAAATAGATCTCGGCACTGGGCGAAATCTTGTGTGGAGAGACCCGGGGAGGGTTGATGATTACAGGCCCAAAAAGGGGATCATGATTATACACCATTCCAAATTTTGGGGATCATCAGAATCCATTGGGGGAATCCCTATGAAGATCTATAAACACCATTAGTATCCATTAGTAACCAACGTTGATACCTTTTCTCCCCGGCGCCCCTGGGCATCGCCTTTGCTGCTGAAGCTCCCCAAAGAGCCGCAAGGCCTTTGGCCACTGTGATGAGCGTTCCAGGCAAGTGACCACGGTGCTGTAGAGAATCACATCACCTGCACTGCGAGGTCAGATGATGGAGAGAAAGGAGAACTATGCCCGCTGATTACTTAAGAGTTTGCTATGGAAAACGGTTGATAGATGATTTATCGTGGTTGACCCATTGAAAATTGGATTTTACATAGCTACGTCAAATTGCCAAAGGCTATTATCGATGATAGTTCTCCAACTTGTCTAGAGTCTAGACATATTAGTTATATATGGGTTTGTCTAGAAATAGGGCATCCCCTATCCAATGGTTCATCATTGTCCATCATGTTCCATCATGTTTTCCCCTATTTAAGTAGCAATTTGGGGGAGTACCAAATTCTCGGACATCCTCATATGGTAAACCAGTTGAATAAACGCTTGAGGTCAACCCCCGGTGAAATCAAGTATGGCTATTGGGCTGTGCCACATTGGAGACGTTGCTGTTGAGATTCCAGCCCCTATCCCTATGGTAGTGCCAGTTTGCAGCAATCCTTCTACACTCAGGCGTTCGTATGAGCAGCTAGCCAATGGATCCAATTTTGTCACTGCAACCACCAATTTCTACTAAACACTTGCAATCAAAGAAGCTGCGGCTGATGCGTTACATAAAGCACGGCTCACGTAAAATTCAAAGTGCCAAAGAATATTTTAAAAAAACATAATAAATAAATAAATATATATATAAAGAGAATTGCCGCATTGTGAAGTAGCAAGCAATTCTAATCAACCATGTTGCTGCTATCTTTCCACCTTGCGTAGCCCAGGGACCTGCATAGATTACCTATATCAACATAGATATGGGGGTTTCCATAAATGGGGGGATCCCCAAATGGATGGTTTATCATGGACAATCCCAATCTAAAATGAATGATTTAGGGGTACCCCTGTCCATATGTACATGTTTCATTGTTGCGGGCACGAAGATGACAGAGGATGTAGTCAGCTGGTATTCACGCATGGATCACGCAAAAGTATCAAAAATCATTAGCATCCATAGCCATGCAAGCTTCTCTTGATTCAAAGCTCCTCATCCTGGCGAGCCAGTCCCATCTGTACATTTTTTCCCGGGGATCTGCATCATCCAACATCCATTTTCCCATATGTTCATATATTTTCCCCATCCCCATCCCCAGACCTTCCAACTGCTGCATCTCCATTTCCTCCAGTAGCGTCAGCGCCAGCGTCCACTGCCGCCCCCGACTGCAGACCTTCATCGCAAGGCTAACGGCGATCAAATCCACGGTCGACAGCTGACGGAACAACTGCAGGGCCAAGGGCCAGCTGGATGTCGTCCTTAGATGTGAAACGTCGATGGAAAAGGATGGCAAAGGGGGAGTGAGTTTCGGAGATTTTGGGAGATGTGGGGATTTCGGATATACCATAGGATCCATGTATGCTATATATATATATATATGGTAACATGTACCATCAATATACCCCAGTCATGTTAGCATATATATATATATACCAGCACCATGGATCCGTCATGGGTATGACTTCAAACATGTTGAAACCAGAGAAGCTGGATCATGGAATCTGAAACCACCAGCTGGCAACCCTTCCTTTTTTTCAAGTGGTGGGTGAACGCCGAAAAAGAACTGCTGAAACAAGCCTGGCAATAAGAATGCAATAAGACAGAACGTGTTTGACCAAGAAACAACTTTCCAACAAGATGTGTTGGTTTATTGTTGCTGGCTTTAAGCAAGAATCAAGAACCGACAAAAAATAGTCAACAGGAATTATGTTCCTAGTTGAAGTGATATGAAGAGCACAACTATGAAAGCACCAGCCAGATCCCATCTCCCTTGGCTGAGTGCAGTTGGGGACAAGATGGGGCAAGCATCCCATTGATAAACACGCCTAGGTGAATTGATAAACACACCCAGGTGATGCTTAAACCCATGGGAAGACAGACACTACAAGTTGGATTACTGTATATATAATACTACTAGGAATGGAAAATCACTGAAACTCTTTGGACGACGCGCAAATGTAAATGACTTCCCCCTCTACGCTTCCTCAAAATGCAGTTAGGATCGCAAAGTACTGCAATAGTTAGTAAATTACAAAATGGTTGATTCAGCCCGTGAAGATACTAGGGTACTTCCATGCTATCATCATAGAGAAAAAATACAAAGCCCGTCTGAAATCACCAAAGAGTTTCTCACATGCACTGATGACGGCACTGCAGGTCCGTTGGTTTACCTGCAAAGATGAATGCTTCCTGGGCTGCAGGGAGCCGTGGAGAATTGCAAGTGGCACAACCCTGACGAGTCTTCCAATTTTTCCCGGTAGTGGGCTTTGAAGTTGCTACGGCGAGGATCTAACTGACAGCCCCCAAAAGGACCCCAAATAACAATTAAGGGCATTATACATCATCTATGATTTAGGGGGTCCGTTAAATATGTTAAATCCTCAATGATGCAACGAGGCTTTCGCGAAAGTCACCAACAACTGAGATACATTGGGGCCAGCGGCCTGAAGATGTTCTAAATGCCGAAAAATAACCAAACTACACCAAAAAAAAAATAACAAGAATCTCATGTTTAATCATCACTCTCTCCATTCAAAAGGCATCATTTGATTGGTCAAATCCATGTGAAATCCCAGGTGGTGCCACAGGTGCCCAGCTTCAGTTGGATCAGCAGGCCCAAAGCTTCTTCCCAGGATCTCTGCTTGGCGAACTGCGCAATGCTACAGGCCATAGCGCCAGCTCCGCCTGGAAGACACGTCGTAGGGCGTAGGGCGTCGCCGCTTCGGCGTTTGAAAGGAATGGGACACATGTGGAACAACATGAGGCCTCAACAACATATAACAAAGTGATGCAAACAAATCAAAAAATAGATATCGAAATAGTTGTTATAAGTTCCAAGTTTTCAGTTGCTTTGTAACTTGGGTTCCTTATAGCAATATACAGTAGTAATTAACTAGGCCAACTGCTGGGTTTATGGTGGAAAGCATCAGCCGAGGCGCCTGCACCATCTCTCGTCCAGCTGCAACGCCCCAGTTCGCCATGGCATATCCCATGTTGGCAAACGGGGATGGAAATGATCTGTGGCTGCAACCGGGGCAACCTTAATTTCATGTTTTTCTATGTTTATAAAGAATAAGAATATTGCACTATCATGTATGGTCCATAATTATTGATATAACCCTCTGGGTATTTGACACAGCGATGGAAAATGGCCCATAAACATGAATGATTTATGATGATTTGCCTCTCAAAACATAGTTCCCCAAATATTCATCATTTAAACATAGGCCAAGGAGGCCAAAGTACCAGTCGGTTTATCAGTTCACCACTAGATGCCCCATGTTCAAACACACCCAAATATCACGCATAGTTGTGTATGTGTATGTGTATATATATATATATGTGTGTGTGTGTGCGTGTAGCATCATTCCCCCCACAAAAAACAAATAATAATAATAATAGTAATAATAATAATAATAGTAATAATAATAAACTATAATGAATATCCAGATAAACATCAGTTTAGGTCAATCTAAATCTCAATTTCCGCTTCATCGCTTCACCAATCCCACCTCTCCTGCGGCTTCGCAGCGTCATCTTTGCCATGCTTGGGGCTCTGGGGATCAAATGCCATGAGGTCCTGCCACGGTGTGGTGACCTATTTCTCCATTTCGCGACATGGCCGTGGCATGCGTGGAAAATCACAAAAGATTCGCTACAAATGGCTTGCTATGGATGATGCTCATTCATTTTCCATATGAAAAATAGATGGATGTCCCTTGGGGAAAAATATTTAGTGAGAAATGGGAACATACAATCAAATCATCCATCCATCCATCCATCCATACATCCATCCATCCATCCATACATACATTACATTACATTGCATTGCATTACATTACATTGCATTGCATTACATTACATTACAATATATATATATAATTATATAGTTTCTAATTATTGTATATTTCTTATGCAGCCCCCACCACCAATACCACCCCCAGATGTGTTCAATCTATGCTTTTATACTGTTTGGAACATTGCTTCTTTTAAGAACGGTGTTCAGCTTTCGTCAATGCAGATTGCTACCTTCCTTGATTGTTGTTAAGGAACATGCTGCTTACAGGTTAGTCTGCCTTGAACATATTCTCAAGTAAGAAGCAATATTATTTGAGAAACATACCATATGTGGAAAACTGCCATACAACCTTTAATGAAGCTCAGCCTTCCTATCATGTTTCTTGTATGACCATTTTTTCCAGGAAAGACTTCACTTCTTCAAAACGTTTGCCCTGAAGACAAGGTCTTCCTTCAAGTAAGAAGCGCTATTTATTCTTGCAGAAACATCCAATATGTGGAAAGGTGCAGTGCAATACGCCTTTTTCATGAAGTTCAGCCCCCGTCTCATTTTTTGCATGATATTTGTTGTTTAAAGGAAAGACGTCACTTGTTCAAAATAATGATGCCTATTTTGTTCAGATCTTTCATTCATATAATATGGAAGGGCATATTGCACACATACAACCATGACGTGTTTCTTACAAAAAATACTACACGCACCCAAGGGTTCTAGTTCATCATAGTAATGCTGTTCTGTGTATTGTTGCATGATTTTCAATCAAATGGTTCACTCCTTTGTGAAGGAGGCTTTGCACATACTTGCACCAACACTTTCCTTAATGAATACGACGTCCTCTATTTTCCAGAAAAGTGTTATTCTTCTTAGAGAAATATTGCAAAAAGTGATGCTACGCTTCTACACTTCTTTTAGAATACACAGTACTGCTTTCATTTAATTCAGGGACTTTTTGTAAAACTCGAACATATTCCAAGTACTACTGCATCTATTGAGTCCCCACAATGTTTAAGGAATATATTCAACGGAACATTGCAAAAAAGTAATGCTACAGTACAACCCTCATCTAAATACAGTATATTTTACTGTTTTCAATGAATACTGCATAGACTAAGAGAGCTTTCTTATTGAAGTATTGCTGTGCTCTTTCAAGTCACCTTTCTTCAGAAGGGGCATGTTAATCTCACAGAGGTAGCATTTGCGAGGGTATTTGTTTAATCAAAAACGGCTCACATCTTTTAAATTCAAGTATGCGCTATTATATACTATCAAAAAATGAGTGAGGCTGACTCTAGAGAGCACAATGTAGCAGTACTTAGAGAACAACATGCATGTTCTTCAAAGTAATGGCTACATTCTGAAGATAATTAGTCTTATTCTATTTGAAAAGGTACTGCATTCGATAAAACGATGCCTTGTATGTTGCAGGGACCTTTTGTGCAACGTATTCTTCCTTCCGGAAGAATTGTAGCAATACTTCATGAAATGGGTCTATGCTCATGTTTTGAATTAAACAATGCATATTTACATGTTGGGAAGAACCACTACCTGATCGAAATGAGGAGCAATATGTTCAAGAAAAGTGACTTTCTGCAAAGGAATGCTACCTATTAAAAAGGAATACTCTTTTTGCCTGAGGAAAGCTACACCCTTTGCATGAAGTGTCTGTTTGTAAAGCCTGCTCTTGTCAATTTAGAATTGTTTCTTCAAGAGAAAAATGCATGTGTTATCGTTTCTGTAGTAACGTACGGTGCTTTCACTGCGTTTTTCAGATTTCGGGGAAAAGACCGAAAGTTGAGACTTTTTTCATGTGAGTTGAATCACTCGTCCCGACTTAAGGGAAACTTTGCAGAGAGGTGGAGGTGGATTGAAGATTGAAGATTGAAGGCCCGGGAAAAACTTCTCCAATCCAGGATTGAAGATTATTGAAGATTGAAGATTGAAGGCCTAAGGAAAACGTCTTCAATCCGGTCTTTACGATTGAAAATTGAAGATTGAAGGCGTGGGAAAAAACTTATTCAATCCTAAAGCATGGATTGAAGAAGTTTTTCCCAGGCCTTCAAGCTTCAATCCCAAGTTTCTGTTTGCAGACGTTTGCAAACGCCCTTGGTGGATTTGTTTCCCTAGTACAAGACTACATTAGGCTATAATTTCTTTAGCTCTCTATATAGTTGTATAATGTCTGTATGCGCATTGTTTCTCTTCAAAAGAAAGCCTTCTCACAAAAACAAACCGCTGAAATAGTACGAAAACACTGCAAATACCAACAGATTCACATATTAGGGGGGTACCACATATATATATAATTATGTAATATGATGCATATATATATATATGTATGAATTGGAAACGGGATCGTCAAATGCCCAACTTTTACCACGGCAGCGCGGTATGACTCAAGGGCCCTAAAGCCAAATGTCAACGGGGCATGTGATCACTTGGCTATACAAAATATACATTAGACAGGTCAAACTCACACTCAACCTGTTCTTCAAGGATCACATGATGCTAGTGAAAAAAGTTGGCTCTAAGGCTTCTTCTGTACACGGTAAATGCACTCCTTCAAGACGCGGATAATGAGGTCCGGGCGCATGCTCTTGGTCAGAGCATCCGAGACCATAGTCCCTGTAGCAATCCAGGTAACAATGTCTCCTCCGCCATGATGCATATCCCAGGTCCTCCGGCCGTCTTGCCAAAGTGACTCATGAATCGACTGCAACTCAATGCCGAGTCGTTTGTCTGCGACCCTGCCGAGTACCTCATTCGCAAGATGGTCTGTTAGAGACCTGCAGTCTGAAAGCATCAGTTGTGGAATACAGCTGCGGCTGTCATCCAACCATGTTTTCATCGAGTCAAGTTGGCCCATCAGTTCGGCCAATGCTCCACGTAGCTTGTCACCGCTCTCTTGTCCAGCCTGCAGTGAATAAGCCTCGCATTGAAGAGTGCTGCGGCATACTCGCCGAATTGTATTTGATGCAAATCCCAATGGCATCACCCTGTAGGATGTAGTCTTGGGGTCTTTGATCTCATTGATGTCTCCAAGAAAATGGAAACGGCCTTGTTGTGATTTGTAATTCTTCTCATTTGAAAATGAAGCATCTGTCACTGTAATGATACCAATCTCTCCCCAAGTTAAATGACCACCTGGGAAAATAAGCTTGTTATCAATGCCTTGATGTGCCAGCTGTACCACGGCATTTGCGTCACTCAAAACGGCAACTGTTGCTCCAGCAATGCTGGACTGTAGACGACTCACACGATAACCCAAATCGGGTCTAGTCTGCCTTGCCACCCATGCCAATGATCCCGTTACTGATCGTAATCGGGTCACATCATCCTTACCCAACGGCTCGGACGCTGATCTTCCTGGCGCGATCTTGATCGGCTTGATGCGACGGGTGTTGTCACAAGTGTCTTGTGTGATTGTTCCATCTGCAGTACGCTCAAATTGCTTGCCACAATAGCGAAACGAATTTGATTCACTTGATCCCAAGTTGAACTTCTCCAAGAAGCTGTCGATCACTGACTTTCCCTCAGGAATGTATGCGTACAAGATGTCATCCACATGTGTCGCCATAAGTGCAACGCAATCTTTGTCGGTTCCTGGAAGGAAATACAATCCTGGGTAAAACTTGGATTGTTTCAAGCCACTGGATCGGGCATCTCCGTCCAACCTCAACCAAAAACCTCGACGGCTGTCAGTTAATCCATATATAGGCACCCGCACAAGGAAAAACACCTCTGGATCAACTCCCGGGAGACCTCCTCGGGGTTGTCTCATAATGAGAACTCTATCAAGAGGACGACCTTGGAAATATGCGGATGCGACGTCCGCACTGTGCAATTGTGCGCCCTGGATCGCCGCCCAACAGCAAAGAATGTTGTGAGCTTCCGTATCTGCTGTAGGACTGTCTGATCTCAAACCTTCACTGACTTCGAAATTGCCGCATGATACCAACCGGCTCTTGAACTTTGGCACGTATTCTTGATCTGATCTTCCTTTCATGAACTGATTCTTGTCAACATCAACCCACTTGCTAGGAATACATTGATGTCCTTCAGCAATCAACCTCTCAGCATCTTCTTTTGAGATTTCAACAACAGCAGCGAACTCAAGGAACTTGCTCCACTCCTTGGTTCTGGCATCCATGATGTTCTTCTGTACATCAGGTGACGCTGATTCATAGTGGATTGATT